TTATCCCGCTGCGAGCAGCACAATGGACATCGTGCAAGCGCTAGCATGCGGGTGTGCACGCGCAGCGGCAGTGCGCAACTGGCGTGCAGGAGAAGGAGGCCTGTGGTGATGCCGGAGCGGCCCTGGACAGTAGGCTCCCCGGCAGAGAGGCGCTCCTTGCGCACGACGAGCTGTGCAGCGCCAGCGAACAGTGCGCTTCGCACAGCGGCGCGTGAGTGCGAGGCCGCTGGGCAGCCACCGAGGGTGGCAAGGGGCGTCGCACGAAGCAAAGGCTCTAGAGCAAGTTAAATGGTATCGCTGGCGAAGCAGGGAAGGGCGAGGTTGCCCATGGCCCTCTCCGCACGCACCGCCACGTACAGGAAGCCGTCAGCGCGCTTGCAGCTCTCGTGGATGTCGCGCAGCGCGGTGCCGGCGGCGGGCGTGCAGCCGTCGATGATGAGCGAGAGCTTCTTGCCGTTGAGGGCGGCGCGCACGGTGTCCTCCAGGCCGGCCACGGTGGCGTCGCGCGCCACGTTGACGAAGAGCAGGCGGCCGTCGTTGCACTCGATGGCAACGGGGAGCTGGTTGGCGGAGACGGTGTGGATGGCGGCCATGGCTGAGCGAGTGTTCGAGTGGTGAGGAGTTCGGAGTTCGGATTGACTGGCGGGCGAGGAGACTCGTGGCGGAGGGCGTTAGTCTGTGCGACAAGGGCGCAACGGCAACGCAAACAAACAGCAGAAGAGAGGACGAAAGCAAGACGCGCAGGGTGAGGGAGAGTGGGAGCGGGGGAGGGACGCCGGAAGAAGCTCAGCGGAGGTGAGGGGGAACAAACGCAGCCGTCGTGGCTCCAAGTCGAGTGCGGAGGGCGATGGGTAAAGAGAGCTAGCACACACTGCCAAGCGAGACGAGGCGCTCACACGTCGAGAGCGGGCTGGCTGTTATGGATCCGCTGTGTGCGGTTGGCGCCGATGCGCCGATGCGCCGAGGGCTGTGGGTACGCAATCAATTCAGAATTCGACTGTGCACATGGCGCCGCGAGGGGGCCGCGCGAAAAACAGAGGGAACAGAAAACAAAGGGAAGCACACATTGAGGAAAGAGAAAATAAGCCGGTCGAGCATCAGGTGGTAAGTACCCTACTTGAATGAGACGAATAGGTACGAACATCAGAAAAATAGAAATAAAAGAATCACATAAAATCATTATCCCGCTGCGAGCAGCACAATGGACATCGTGCAAGCGCTAGCATGCGGGTGTGCACGCGCAGCGGCAGTGCGCAACTGGCGTGCAGGAGAAGGAGGCCTGTGGTGATGCCGGAGCGGCCCTGGACAGTAGGCTCCCCGGCAGAGAGGCGCTCCTTGCGCACGACGAGCTGTGCAGCGCCAGCGAACAGTGCGCTTCGCACAGCGGCGCGTGAGTGCGAGGCCGCTGGGCAGCCACCGAGGGTGGCAAGGGGCGTCGCACGAAGCAAAGGCTCTAGAGCAAGTTAAATGGTATCGCTGGCGAAGCAGGGAAGGGCGAGGTTGCCCATGGCCCTCTCCGCACGCACCGCCACGTACAGGAAGCCGTCAGCGCGCTTGCAGCTCTCGTGGATGTCGCGCAGCGCGGTGCCGGCGGCGGGCGTGCAGCCGTCGATGATGAGCGAGAGCTTCTTGCCGTTGAGGGCGGCGCGCACGGTGTCCTCCAGGCCGGCCACGGTGGCGTCGCGCGCCACGTTGACGAAGAGCAGGCGGCCGTCGTTGCACTCGATGGCAACGGGGAGCTGGTTGGCGGAGACGGTGTGGATGGCGGCCATGGCTGAGCGAGTGTTCGAGTGGTGAGGAGTTCGGAGTTCGGATTGACTGGCGGGCGAGGAGACTCGTGGCGGAGGGCGTTAGTCTGTGCGACAAGGGCGCAACGGCAACGCAAACAAACAGCAGAAGAGAGGACGAAAGCAAGACGCGCAGGGTGAGGGAGAGTGGGAGCGGGGGAGGGACGCCGGAAGAAGCTCAGCGGAGGTGAGGGGGAACAAACGCAGCCGTCGTGGCTCCAAGTCGAGTGCGGAGGGCGATGGGTAAAGAGAGCTAGCACACACTGCCAAGCGAGACGAGGCGCTCACACGTCGAGAGCGGGCTGGCTGTTATGGATCCGCTGTGTGCGGTTGGCGCCGATGCGCCGATGCGCCGAGGGCTGTGGGTACGCAATCAATTCAGAATTCGACTGTGCACATGGCGCCGCGAGGGGGCCGCGCGAAAAACAGAGGGAACAGAAAACAAAGGGAAGCACACATTGAGGAAAGAGAAAATAAGCCGGTCGAGCATCAGGTGGTAAGTACCCTACTTGAATGAGACGAATAGGTACGAACATCAGAAAAATAGAAATAAAAGAATCACATAAAATCATTATCCCGCTGCGAGCAGCACAATGGACATCGTGCAAGCGCTAGCATGCGGGTGTGCACGCGCAGCGGCAGTGCGCAACTGGCGTGCAGGAGAAGGAGGCCTGTGGTGATGCCGGAGCGGCCCTGGACAGTAGGCTCCCCGGCAGAGAGGCGCTCCTTGCGCACGACGAGCTGTGCAGCGCCAGCGAACAGTGCGCTTCGCACAGCGGCGCGTGAGTGCGAGGCCGCTGGGCAGCCACCGAGGGTGGCAAGGGGCGTCGCACGAAGCAAAGGCTCTAGAGCAAGTTAAATGGTATCGCTGGCGAAGCAGGGAAGGGCGAGGTTGCCCATGGCCCTCTCCGCACGCACCGCCACGTACAGGAAGCCGTCAGCGCGCTTGCAGCTCTCGTGGATGTCGCGCAGCGCGGTGCCGGCGGCGGGCGTGCAGCCGTCGATGATGAGCGAGAGCTTCTTGCCGTTGAGGGCGGCGCGCACGGTGTCCTCCAGGCCGGCCACGGTGGCGTCGCGCGCCACGTTGACGAAGAGCAGGCGGCCGTCGTTGCACTCGATGGCAACGGGGAGCTGGTTGGCGGAGACGGTGTGGATGGCGGCCATGGCTGAGCGAGTGTTCGAGTGGTGAGGAGTTCGGAGTTCGGATTGACTGGCGGGCGAGGAGACTCGTGGCGGAGGGCGTTAGTCTGTGCGACAAGGGCGCAACGGCAACGCAAACAAACAGCAGAAGAGAGGACGAAAGCAAGACGCGCAGGGTGAGGGAGAGTGGGAGCGGGGGAGGGACGCCGGAAGAAGCTCAGCGGAGGTGAGGGGGAACAAACGCAGCCGTCGTGGCTCCAAGTCGAGTGCGGAGGGCGATGGGTAAAGAGAGCTAGCACACACTGCCAAGCGAGACGAGGCGCTCACACGTCGAGAGCGGGCTGGCTGTTATGGATCCGCTGTGTGCGGTTGGCGCCGATGCGCCGATGCGCCGAGGGCTGTGGGTACGCAATCAATTCAGAATTCGACTGTGCACATGGCGCCGCGAGGGGGCCGCGCGAAAAACAGAGGGAACAGAAAACAAAGGGAAGCACACATTGAGGAAAGAGAAAATAAGCCGGTCGAGCATCAGGTGGTAAGTACCCTACTTGAATGAGACGAATAGGTACGAACATCAGAAAAATAGAAATAAAAGAATCACATAAAATCATTATCCCGCTGCGAGCAGCACAATGGACATCGTGCAAGCGCTAGCATGCGGGTGTGCACGCGCAGCGGCAGTGCGCAACTGGCGTGCAGGAGAAGGAGGCCTGTGGTGATGCCGGAGCGGCCCTGGACAGTAGGCTCCCCGGCAGAGAGGCGCTCCTTGCGCACGACGAGCTGTGCAGCGCCAGCGAACAGTGCGCTTCGCACAGCGGCGCGTGAGTGCGAGGCCGCTGGGCAGCCACCGAGGGTGGCAAGGGGCGTCGCACGAAGCAAAGGCTCTAGAGCAAGTTAAATGGTATCGCTGGCGAAGCAGGGAAGGGCGAGGTTGCCCATGGCCCTCTCCGCACGCACCGCCACGTACAGGAAGCCGTCAGCGCGCTTGCAGCTCTCGTGGATGTCGCGCAGCGCGGTGCCGGCGGCGGGCGTGCAGCCGTCGATGATGAGCGAGAGCTTCTTGCCGTTGAGGGCGGCGCGCACGGTGTCCTCCAGGCCGGCCACGGTGGCGTCGCGCGCCACGTTGACGAAGAGCAGGCGGCCGTCGTTGCACTCGATGGCAACGGGGAGCTGGTTGGCGGAGACGGTGTGGATGGCGGCCATGGCTGAGCGAGTGTTCGAGTGGTGAGGAGTTCGGAGTTCGGATTGACTGGCGGGCGAGGAGACTCGTGGCGGAGGGCGTTAGTCTGTGCGACAAGGGCGCAACGGCAACGCAAACAAACAGCAGAAGAGAGGACGAAAGCAAGACGCGCAGGGTGAGGGAGAGTGGGAGCGGGGGAGGGACGCCGGAAGAAGCTCAGCGGAGGTGAGGGGGAACAAACGCAGCCGTCGTGGCTCCAAGTCGAGTGCGGAGGGCGATGGGTAAAGAGAGCTAGCACACACTGCCAAGCGAGACGAGGCGCTCACACGTCGAGAGCGGGCTGGCTGTTATGGATCCGCTGTGTGCGGTTGGCGCCGATGCGCCGATGCGCCGAGGGCTGTGGGTACGCAATCAATTCAGAATTCGACTGTGCACATGGCGCCGCGAGGGGGCCGCGCGAAAAACAGAGGGAACAGAAAACAAAGGGAAGCACACATTGAGGAAAGAGAAAATAAGCCGGTCGAGCATCAGGTGGTAAGTACCCTACTTGAATGAGACGAATAGGTACGAACATCAGAAAAATAGAAATAAAAGAATCACATAAAATCATTATCCCGCTGCGAGCAGCACAATGGACATCGTGCAAGCGCTAGCATGCGGGTGTGCACGCGCAGCGGCAGTGCGCAACTGGCGTGCAGGAGAAGGAGGCCTGTGGTGATGCCGGAGCGGCCCTGGACAGTAGGCTCCCCGGCAGAGAGGCGCTCCTTGCGCACGACGAGCTGTGCAGCGCCAGCGAACAGTGCGCTTCGCACAGCGGCGCGTGAGTGCGAGGCCGCTGGGCAGCCACCGAGGGTGGCAAGGGGCGTCGCACGAAGCAAAGGCTCTAGAGCAAGTTAAATGGTATCGCTGGCGAAGCAGGGAAGGGCGAGGTTGCCCATGGCCCTCTCCGCACGCACCGCCACGTACAGGAAGCCGTCAGCGCGCTTGCAGCTCTCGTGGATGTCGCGCAGCGCGGTGCCGGCGGCGGGCGTGCAGCCGTCGATGATGAGCGAGAGCTTCTTGCCGTTGAGGGCGGCGCGCACGGTGTCCTCCAGGCCGGCCACGGTGGCGTCGCGCGCCACGTTGACGAAGAGCAGGCGGCCGTCGTTGCACTCGATGGCAACGGGGAGCTGGTTGGCGGAGACGGTGTGGATGGCGGCCATGGCTGAGCGCGTGTTCCAAAGGGGAAAAGAGGTGTGTGAAAGGATGGGATTGACCAAGTTTGTTTTACTTCGCTGGCACCCTTCCCATTGCGGTGTTCTGGTGGCGTTTGCATCGGTCAGAGTCAGGGAGAGAAAAAAAGCGGCGAACGTGGTTGAGGCGGCATTGGAGGGAAAGCTTTCGTGTTGCTGCGATCCAGGCGCCGCGTCAAGACGATGCGTAACACACGGTAGGAGAAAAGTGTTTTGTTTTTGCGTAAACGAGCGGTTATATTATTGGCCGAAAAGACGTTGCCTTTTCGCTGCGTGCTGCATACCGCTCGCTGCTGCCTTCGCCCCTATAACCCGGGAGTGCTGAGAGGGGAGAGAGAACCGAAATGAGTTCACGAGTTCCACGTGGAGTTGGACGGAAACTGGGAAAGGAAACAAGCGCAATAGTTACCCGAACACGATTTGTGGGTGCGTGCCGGGGAAAGAGAAGAAGAGCCCCGCTGGTAATGCTAGGCACCACGTTCAGGCCGGTGCCGCGCACATGCGCAGACACGCTGCTGGCCAACTATCGTTGCGTCTGACGAGTATCTGGACAGCATACCGGCTACTAGGACGCGAATCGCCACCATAACCCTCTCGCTCTCTGAGACATCGAACACACATACACCCCTACACCCCCACATCCACACATGAAAATCAACGCAGCTACAAATAGGAGACGGCGGCTGCAGGGAGGAAAAAGACTCTTTGTTTTCAACAGCAGACCCACGGCTGCAGTGTTCCAAGTATCTTCCCATCTCACGCGCACGGGGGCCGCACAGGAGTTCACTTCTTGTCTCCCTCGTTTCGCTTAAACTTGTTCAAAAAGCTGATGGACGTCGCCGTGTTGCGCGCGGCATTCGCAAAACGTGAACCCAGACTTTCTTCGTCCGTTTGGTTCTTCGGCGAGGCTCCGGGGTGATCGGGGTTGGGTGCGGCGCCGGCGACGGTTCCACCTGCGGCCCCACGAGGCGAGGCTATGCTGCCGCCGTTGACGCTGTTGTTGTGGTGCTCAACCATCGCTGCATTACTGTTGCCGCCACCGATGGTCGACACGAAGTTCGAGAGGGAGAAGTGACTGCTCGCTGTGGGGGACGCCGTGGAGGCGCCGCCTGTGGCCCCTGTCGACGTAGCCGCCGCTACCGCCGCCGAAGCCCCGGCATTATGTGGCGACCCCGGCGCTGCGGGATCGCGTGTGAAGAGGGCGGCAAAGTTCAACCCGCCCACGCTGGGTGCGCCACCGCCGCCCGTCGACGGCGGTGCGGGCGAGGACGAGATACCAGTGGCGATGCCGAGGGAGGCCTCCCGCTGGAAGTCGCGCTTCGTTGCCTCAACCACGCCGCGCTTCGACAGCGTCGCCACCCACGCCCGCACATCCTCGCGGCGCAGCCCCTTCAGCTCCACCAGCCGTACGAAGTTGTGAATGGATCGGTCCTCGGGCAGGACGACCTCGTAGTACACGTCAATGAAGGCGTCTGTCCGCGCGTCCACCTGCAGCACTTTCAGCGCACGGTTCAGCTGATCGAACTCTTTTCGCACCAGCTTCATGTAGCCGGTCAGCGCCGTGGCAGGGAAGCGGGCTGGATCGTTGTAGTTGGGCAGCTGCAGGAACGCTTTCTCCAGCGCGGCCGCGTCGACTCGCATCGCGCTGATGCCCTCGTCGGGCAGCCGTCGTAGGCGGTAGAGGGTGTTGCCGTACTCGGCAATGAAGAGGGCCGCCATCTTGTCAAGCAGGAAGCGCAGCGCCGACGGCGGGACGACGGCGGCGCAGCTCAGCACCGTCTCGTGCAGCGTAGTGGTGATGTCGCGCACCAGCTTCGACTCATCAGCCGCGCCGCCGCTGTTGGCGTCGTAGGCCGAGGTGCCTTTTTTGGCCATGAAGCCGCCGCTGCCGTATTCTACGAGCATCGGGGCCAGGGCCAGCTCCGTACCCTGCAAGATGGCTTGAATGGCCTTCGAGTACAGTGTGGAGAAAGCCTCTTTCACCTGGTCGAAGGCGACCTCGCGTGCGGGGACCTCGCTGCGAGCGCAGACTTCGTCGCCGAGATCCTGGCTCGTGGTCTGGCACAGGTCAGCCGTGTTCAGCACGATGCAGGCACGCCGACGTTCCAGCGGGGTGAGGGCGGGGGTCGGCAGCAGCGCCGTGACGGCCTGCGCCAGCTCAATGAGATGCCGCCGCCACACACCGGCCATCTCCAGCAGCACATCTTGCTGCGCAATACGCAGGGCTCGTTTCAGACTCTCTTTGATGAACACGAAGATGTCCTCTGCGATGGGTAGCCAGGTGCCGTTGCGAATCTCCTCCTCCGCGCTGCTCCACCCCGTGCACGCCGACTCGCCGCTTCCGGTGAGGGGCTGCGCTAGCGCCTCGCGCATCAGCTTATCCTCATTCTGCACCAGCAGGCCCATGTGCTCCTTAAAGGCGGAGAGGATCAAGCCGTTGTACTTGTACACTGGCAGCTCCCGACGACCTGGGAACTCGTCCTTCCACGCCATCATCTGCGTTACGTCGCGCTCCATGTCGATTGTTTTTTGAATCACGTAGGTGAGCACCACCACGTCGATGTCGTTGTTCGACTCACGGAGGGCGAGGTCCAACTCCTGCTTCGTGCGGAGGCAGAAGGTGACGCACAGTTCCTGCGGCACACACCAATGGCGGGGAAAAACGTTTTGGAAGACGCCGTCGTACCGATCCAGCAGCGTGCGGAGGTACACATAGCGCCGCTCCGTGCGCTCCAGCTTCGCCTCATCGGTGCCACGCTTAAAACGCAGCGAGTAGGATTCCAGTAGCTTGTCAATGAAGCGGTCACGCAGTTTCTTCTTACTCTCCTCCGCCATCAGGTCCACGACGGAGCACGCCTCCGCCATTGCGTTTACATCCATGGCGTCCAGGTCCATCTCCCCAAAGACGGTGTTGCGGATGTAGTACTCCACCTGTCGGCAGAGCTGCGTTTGCTTGTCATTCAGCTCCTTCACCTTGGGGATCTCCTTCATCTTCGCGAACGAGGTGGAGTACTTGAGTGCCTCCTGCAGGGCATCGCGGGTTTGAAGGAAGCGGCGCTTTTCAAAGGACGACGACAGCACCTGCAGCTGCAGCATCCAGAGTTGGACGGAGCGCAGGGTGTTGATGCTGGCGGTGAGATTTGTCTTGGCAATGTCGAGTTCACGGATGTGCTGGCACAAGTCCTTCACCATCTCCTCACTGTCCGACGCCTGCATTTTGATATCCGACACACGCATGTACAGCTGCGCGACAGCCTCCTTTGCACTTTTCAAGTCACACTCCGCGCTGGTGGCGTTGCTGGACTGCTGCTCCACCGCCTTCAACAGGGAGTTCTCGGTCTTGCGCAAACGCTCATTCGCCTCGTCCAGAAAGGCGGGCAGCGCAGCCAGACTCGACTCATCGGGGAAGCGGCTGTTTAAGTAGACGACAGGGTCGAAGTCGCCGGAGTCCATCGCGTCGCGTGGCGGGCACACCTCCGCTATGGCGGCCTCAACAGCAGCGCTGTAACGGACCGACATGTGGCACCTACTTTTTTTTTGTTCTCTTCGCTGTTGTTGTTGTGGTTGTGAAAGCACACTGTGCGTGTGTCTGTGGGCGCGCGGAAATGATTGGAAACCCAACTAGAGAGAGCCGGGATATATGAATATGTTGAGGGGGACGTAGCTTGCACGTCCCCTGAATGAGAGCGAAGTAATAATAGAAAGAAAAGATGTCGTGTGTATGGGGGATGTACGCTGAGTGTTGAATTACGCGGCAAACGGTTTCAGAAAAGAAAGAGACGGAAAACAATCAAACACAGAAGCGCAAAACCATTACCAATTTTTAGGAGAGAGTGGCAGGGTGGAGCCGATAAAGAGTACAACAATACGGATGAGGAGACGGAGAATAGAAACAGAGAAGAGAAGAAGCACACTGAACGGTGTTTCTTTTTCTCGCAACACCAACATGTTTTTGCTGCCGATAGAATAGAAGCCAAAGATGACCACGTCAACAGAGAGCTGGCAGTTCGGTTAGGCACTACAGTTGGCAGCATTGCAATGAAGAGTAAATGAACAACATGAGTTCGCAAACGAGAGTTTTCGCGCCACATTACCTTCTTAACGGAGTGCTTACACTTCTGCCTACGTAAGGAGGCAATGGGGAGGATACAGAACATTCATGCAGCTCCATTGAAACTGAACAGCACAAGCACACAGAACGGAATTGATTCATTTGACTTTGAGGTATTCTTTTCTTTCAATATCAACCATTGCTTATCTATTTTAGAGAATAAAACCCTAACGCGACAACGCACAGCAGCTTTTCCAACACACCCTACTGAGTTTGCGCTTGTCAGCGTCGAGGTCGTCCACATTATAAAAACACTTGTTATGTTAGGCATTGTGGGAGTCAGACCCCATGTTACACGACGTCACCAAGCAAGCGGGCACAACAACCATAACGAAGCAGCAGCAGCTGTTGATCACACCTATTTCCCCCCTTTCACCAGCGTACACGCACACACACACGCGCGGCGGAACGTTGCCATTATCTACATTGAAAAATGCGATGTGATCATCATCCCCTCCCCCCCCCACCCTGCGGTTGTGGAAGGGTTATCGTGTGGCGAGGGAAGGAGAGGCAGAGTTACAAAACCCACGCAGCTGATTAGCTCCATCTGCGGGCGAGCACCTTGTTGCTTCAGCCCGCATCGGAAAGACAACAAGAGTGTATCAACAGTGCACACCTGAAAAGGAAAAAAAGGAAAGCCATCTGAGAACGTGCTGAACGAGAAAATAATAAAAACATTCATCATCGGCTTGCGTTTCGCCGTCATTTCCAAACATTTCTTTCCCTTTCACGCCTTTGCGGATCCGTTTTGTTTGTGTGTGTGTGGGGGTGTTATTGCTGTTAAGCGTTCGCCGCGTACGCCTGCGTCATGCGGTGCACCTCCTTCTGTACGTGCTCCTTGTAGTCCGCAATGTCTCCGTTGAAGCGCTTCGCCTCGCCCTTCTCCACGATCCAAATCTCATCCGCGATCTGAGCCAGCAGGCGGAGATCGTGCGAGACGACCACGACAGCGCCCTCAAACGCGTTAATGGCCTCTGCCAGCGCGTCAATCGACTCGATATCCAAGTGGTTCGTCGGCTCATCGAGAATCATGAAGTGCGGGCGGCGGAAGGCCATCCAGGCGAAGACAACGCGTGACTTCTGGCCGTCAGAGAGCGTCTGCATCGGCGTCATCTGCGCCTTGCCTGATACCCCAAAGCGGCCGAGTGCGCTGCGCAGAACCTGCGGCTCCGTTACTTCAGGGTATTCCTGCCCCATCCACTCCAGCGGTGTCAGCTCCATGTTGATTTGGTCGACGAAGTGCTGATGGAAGCGGGCCATGATGCAGTGCGCGTTCTTCGCCACGTAGCCGGCTGTCGGCTCCAGCTCGCGGCACATCAGCTTCGTCAGCGTCGTCTTGCCCGCACCGTTCGGCCCCACCAGGCAAATACGCGAGTCCATGTTAACCCCGAGGTCGAGGTCGTCGAACAGCGTGGGGCAGCCTGGGTAGGCGAAGGCAACCTCGCGGAACTGCAGCATCGGCGGCGGCAGGGCACCGGCGCACGGAAATTCGAAGTTAATGCGGCTGTCCTTCGACACCGCCTCGGTGAGGCCGCCGCGCGTCATCTTCGCGAGCGTCTTCTCCTTCGACTGCGCCTGACGGGCCAGCTTGGCGCTGCCGTGACCGAAGCGGGCGATGTAGTCCTTCATGTTCTTGATCTGGTTCTGCTCCCACTGGAACTTCTTCATCTGGTTGCTCTCCTTCTCCTCGCGGGTGATGCAGTACTGGTCGTAGTTGCCGCCGTAGCAGGTGAGTTTCTTGAGGTGCATGTGGCAGATATCCGTGCAGACGTTGTTCATGAAGTCCTGCGAGTGCGACACCATGAAGAGGATCTTCTTGAAATTGCTCAGGTAGTTCTCGAGCCACACGACGGCCTCGATATCTAAGTGATTCGTCGGCTCGTCCAGCAACAGCACGGTGGGGTTGATGAAGAGGGCCTGAGCAAGGGAAATGCGCATACGCCAACCACCGGAGAACGCCTTGGTGGGACGCTGCTGCATCTCTTTGGTGAAACCGAGACCGAACAGAATCTTTCCCGCGCGGGCCGCCGCCGTGTCCGCTTCCAGCTCGTCCAGACGCCGGTAGATCTCATCAAGGCGGTGCAGCACGTGCGGATCTTCCTGGTCGCTCAGCGCGAGGTCCTCCATCTCCGATTCCAGGTTTTCACGCTCCTTGTCCACCGCCAGCACGGCGTCGAGGGCTGACATGTCCGACGCGTCCACCTCGTGCGACACGTAGTAGCGGTCGACGTGCGAGGGGAAGGGGATTTCGTGGCAGCCCAGCACCCGCAGCAGCGTGGACTTGCCGCAGCCGTTCGGCCCCACCAGACCGTAGCGGTGCCCCGCGACGAGGTTCAAGGTCGCGTTCTCGAGAATTTGGTTGCCCTGGTAGCTGATGTCGATCTTCTCCACCAGGATATCATTCACGCCCTGCCGGTACACCGGGTTCGCGAAGGCCACCATGGCACCGGAGGTGCGCATTTCGCTCTCCTCCTTAGCGGCGCTGCTGGCGTTACAGGTCGTCGGGCTGTTTACTTGCGAGTTGTCTTGCGCAGTTTCCTCAGCAGCGGCGGCGGCCGCCTTCTTCTTCTGCAGGTACTTTGGCTTTCCCATTGTTAGTTAACGCGAGAGTGGATTTACACGCGGATGTAACTTTTAAATGCCGAGCGCGCGCGCGTGCGTGTGTTTGTGAGGGGGAGGAGCGATGTATATGTATGTATATGCGTCTCCTTGCCTCGGCGTGGACCTCGCTGGGGCGAAAGCGGAAAGAAGCGAAGAGGAGGAGAACAAAAAATAACGATGGCTGGGTAGGGCGGGTGCTACGTGACTCAGTCACAGGCGAAGAGCTTTCCGCGAAGAGCAAAGGAATATGAGGCGAGGCGGATTGGGAGAGAGAACAGGGAAAACAACACAGGGGATACAATGCAGAGTGTGTTAAGAGGAGCTCGCGGCACATACAAAAGTGTATATGTATACATAAATAGCGAGATGGACAACAAAGCAGATTCTACAGAGGTCAGCGCTCTCAGCATGCAGCTTGTCTTCTCGAGTCACACATACGCACACACGTTGAGGCGACGAAAGTGAACAGAGCCTTTTTACTCCGCTAAAGGGGGGAAAAAAATTATGATTCAGCACCGAACCGCAGCAACAACGACAGGCAGCGGATCCAGGTGCGCTTCACTCACTTACAGTTTAACTTCGTAACCTTACAATACTTTTTTAGAGGAATAAGAGATTATATATGAAAAAGAGTGCATGCCACGAGACAGCATTCGGTGACACATAATAAGACCGCCAGCTTCAAACAATCACCACCACGACAGACACATCAACCCTGTTCGCTACACTTATTCAGCTACCGCGACGTCCTCGGCGGCCTTCTTCTGACGTGCCACGGCGGCGCGGCGCTTCTGCTCTTGATCAATCGCGCGCAGCCGCTTCAACTCCTTCTTGCGGCGCTCCGGCAAATCCTTGACGTAGGAGCGCACCGACATTGGAATCCACCGCTCCGGGTCGGGCTTGCCCTCCATGTTCTTCGCCGGTCGCCGCATCGCACGACGGCGACGACTTGGCAGCCCGCCAGTCTTTTGCTGCTTACCCGCGTCGCCCTCCGCCGCCACCTCCTCTTGGTCAGCAGCCGTGACACGACGGTAGCCCAGTTCGTTCATGGCGGCCTGACCCGGATGCTCGCGGATGCGTGCGTGCACCTCCTGCTCCGACGGTGCCACGGTGGTGCTGCCGCTGCTCCCTGCACCGGACATGACAGCCGCCGCCGCAGCGTCCAGCGCCGCCATGTGTCGCTTTGCCTCCACCACGTTCGACTCCGCCAGGCAGACGACGAGCAGCGCGGCCACGTCGCGATCGCGTGCGAGGGAGACATCGGCAGACTGCACCGCCTTCAGCAGCTGCCCCACCTCTGCGTAGAAGCCGCGGCTCACGGCAAGGTCGTGCACGGCCCACAACAAGATGGCCCGCTTCACGTCAACCGAGTAACTGTCTGCGGCGGACGTCGCCGTCAGGCGCTGCTTCAGCAGCCGCGTCGCACCGTCCGCGTCGCCGCTCTGTGTCTTCCAGGCGGCGAGGGTGACCACCGTGGCGGGGCGCTGCAGAAAAGCGGCGTCCTCCATCCCTTCCACGGCCTCCACGGCGTGCGCCACATCGCCCTGCTCGAGAAAGAGCTGTGCAGCGATCATTTGAATAAAGCGGTGCTGCTTCTTGCGGCTCGCCTCAGAAGGGCTGTTCGCGCCACGCCGAGCCGTCGCCTCAGCCTCGTAGCGGCGCACACACTCCTGCACGGCGCTGACGTTGTCGCCTGCTACCGACGCCGCAGATCCCTTTTTCTTCTTCAGCTCCCGCACCGCCAGCACAAGGCGGAGCGACTGCGTCAGTTCGCTGTGCGGGAACGACTTTTCCATCTGCTGCACCGTCCGCGCACAGCGGTCCAGCGCGCCCGTGCTGAGATGCAGCAGCGCCGTGTTGTACTGCACCGCAATGACCTGGCGCGCGGTGAGGCGGGCCACCACCTTGACGTGCTGCGCCGTCTTCAGCTTGCGATGGGAGTCGAAGAGGTCGCTGCCACGGTGCAGCGCAGTCCAGAGGAGGGAGGCCACCGCGGTCGTCACGGCAGAGGCGGGCTTGTAGATGAAAATAAGCTCCACGACCCGCTGCGCTTCGGCCTCGCGGTGGCACAGAAACCACACGTAGGCCTGCTGCACCCAGTTGCTGCTGACCTCGTTGAAGAAAAGCCGCTCCGCGGAGGGCCGGCTGGCGGGGTCGCCGACGCCGGTGTGCGTGGAGGCCACCAGCGGCACCCCGAGCCGTGCCTGCAACGTCTCTGGCTCCGCCGCCAGTGCCTCCTGCAGGGAGTGAAGAGCGCTCTGCGGAAAGTTGTTCGCGCACCGCCGTTCCGCTTGAAGGAGGGTGGCCTGCGCGTCGTCGTAGTGGTGCGCCTCCAGCTGCGCCACGGCGAGGTTGAAGAGCAGGTCGGGCGTCTTTTCCTCCGCCTCGTCACGGACCACCGCAGCGACCTTCGCCGGGTCCGAGGCGGACAGCGCCGCCGTGTAGTTCGTCAGCAACTCTTGCTTCTCCGTGTCGTCGGCGCACGCACCATCCGCCACGAGCGCCGCGTACATGGCAGCCGCCTCTGCGTACTCCTCCAAGTTGTAGTGGATCTGCGCGAGCAGGTGGCGCATCGGAGTTGTGGCGGTGCCTTGGTGTCTCGTCAGCACCGCCCTCGCCTCGCCGTACTGCATCAACCGATAGTGGCAGTACGCCTTGTGGAACAAGAAGGTGGCGGAGGCCGTCACGGGCGTCTTCTCCTTCTCCAGCTCCTCGAACACACGCAGCGCGGCGGCGAGCTTGCCAGTGTGCAGCAGGGCGACAGACTTGCATTGCATGGCGTAAATGTTGTGCGGCTGAAGGGTGAGGATGCGCTCCGCTGTCGACGCGACTTTCGACGGCTCGACGTCGGCGCTGGACGTTTGCTTGCGCAGCGTCTTCTCCAGTTTCGACACTTCGGACATCGCCGCTAGTTTCTTTCGTTCTTTTGAGCTATTGTTGAATTGTTCCACGGACGTTTACCCCGGCAACGCCACAACACAGGAGTGACACAGTTGATCAACAGATGATAAGGAAACCAACAACAGCAGATCGTAGTGTAACCGCAGGGAAGGACGGAGGAGCGGGGAAGAAGAGAACAAAATGAAGATGTTAAAGAAAAGAAAACGGTGTTGCAGAGGACCTTGATAGTTACCGCTTTCTCCATGCAATCCAGAAGGACACCACATGCGAAGCACGCGATTTGATTCGAGAAGGCATCCGCGGGACGTACATTGTGTTCAATGTGAAATGAGCAAATGCATAAACGCTGAATATAAATGTGTTTTCCCTTTTCGTTTCTCTGTCTCATTGCATTGGGGCAGGGCATAGGCTGTGAAGCACCAACAACAGGGGGTGACAAAGAGGGACAACGCAAGCAAGGAAAACGACGCCGTTGCAAATCTAAGTAAAACAGAAGAGGCGCGCCGTATTCGTCCTACGTCCCACCAATTGAACTCAGAAGTTGCGGGTGCGCCACTTGTCGTTTGTCAGAAACGTGCCCCAGCGGCTCGGTGCGACGGCGTGTTCCGTGTCCACGAGGCGGCGCACCTCCAACTCACGCCACTCACGCCAGCGTGGCGAGCACCAGCGGCTGTAGTTCGAGTCCCGGAAGAACATCGCGTAGTGCGCCCCTGTCTCCTTCTCCAGCATCACGGACATCATGCCCCACAGGACGTGGTAAAGGCTGAGCGTCCACAGAACGTTGTACCAGTCCAAGTCCTCGGTGATGCGCCCAAAGACGGAGGGCAGCCAGGGGTTGGCGCAGCCGCGACGCGTCCGCTTGTACTCCCACAGACTTAATCGATAGGCGCGACTCCACACCGGCAGGTAGCGGCGCGAAAGGACGGTGCAGACCAACGTCCCCATCATCCACAGCGTGATGTTCGACAGGGCCGACTGCACGTTTACCTGCCACACCGACTTCTTGTTTTTGCTCCAGAGCGACTCGGAGAGAATGTACTGATGGGTGAACGTGATCGCTGCGACGGGGAGGGCGAGAAATGCGTTGCGGTTTAGCAGGCCGCGCCAGCCGCCGCCGTCCGCCACCCGACCACCGAGCACAACGGCGTTGCACAAAAGAGAAAAGGCAAAGGCGGCCGAGCCGGTCACGGTGGCGCAGCGCACGCCACAGCAGACAGTGCACTTCCGCCGCGGCTCGAAGTCGCTAAACGGCTCGACAGGCGCACGAGGGCGATGCGCCTGTCCAAGTTCCATTGAGCAGGCTTCCCAACAGGGAGGAGAAAGAGATCAGCCGTTGCCGTGGATGCCTCTGCGCTGGAGATACGAATGTGGAAGTCCGCCTGCCTTCATGTACTGCACCGCAGGAGAGCACAATAGCAAAGCGAAGCCGGGAAGAAGCAAAGGTTAACAAATAAGGGCAACAAGGACATCGAGTGTACGGTGAAGACGGTGTACAACAATGAGAGAAGAAAACGAATTGCCCTTCAATCAGACGCAGAACGTACGAGCGCGTTCACGCGGAGAGGTCTGCACAGCCGCAGAGCTTGACACAACCTACCGCCGAGACGTGGAAGAGCGCAACGCATCGAAGCAGCCCGCTGCCTTTGCGTCCGGTTCTCTCTCCAAAGAAGTTCAAATACGTGTCTTCCTTGTTACTTTTGTGACGCGCGCGCGTTGGGTGTGTTCACGCGTGCCTCGAAATCTTCTTCCAGCAAGAGAAGACGGGAAAACAAAAATAAAGCACACAAACCTAGCAGGACACCGAGAGCAAAAGCAAGCACAGTGAAACCAAGGATACGCGACAAGCAACGGATCAACGTCAACAGCAATGAGGGAAGCCCCTTCCGCAGGACAGAGAAAAATGGAGGAGAAACAAATAGAGCCCCCCCCCCCCCGCCCCTGTGCCTTACCAGATGTACCACAAGAAGAAGAGCAGCAGGGCGATTCCGCCATAAACAATCCACGCATCCGCCTCGTTGCGGCGCACAATTTGCAGGATTGTCGTGTTCGACACCCCCAGCGACTCTAGCAAGTTCCCCAGTTTGTTGCCCACCCCGCCCAGCCGACTGCCCTGATCTTGCAGCGCCTGCAAAACCTCTTTGCTCTCCGACTCCATCGCCTGCATCCGCTGCCGGGCGTACTGCAGGCTCTTCTTCTCCCGCTCCAAGTGGTCCATCGCCTCGTAGTTCTGCCGCTGTGCCTCGGCACCGTTGCCGATCAGCGTCTTTACCTGCAACGCGTAGTTCGCCTGCTGCTGTGTCTTCCGCGCGTAGCGGCCGACGGTGGCCTCCAGCAACTTCACCTCTGACAGCACCTGCTCGGCGCGTCGCTGCTGCAGCGGGGTGACCTTCTGCGAGCTGCCCGTGACGCCGACGCGGGCGTGCAGGGTGCCCTGCCTGTCCGAGGGGACGACGGTGGTGCCGGCCACGCTGTGCATGGTGCCCTGGGCGATGGGCCGCACGCGGTCAGCCACCTCCCCCATTAAGCGCCTTGCAAAGTCGAAGTCCACGAGAGCGCCCCGCTCGGCCTGGGCGGCGATAGCGTTGAGGGTGCTGAGCGTCTCCTTCGCCTGCCGCAGCTCTGCCTCCACGGCTCCCACCTCTCCTGCTGTGAGTGCCATGGCGGGAGACAAAAAAAAACGAGGTCGATACCGCGCTGAAATGTACCGCCTTGCTCAACGACACCGTGCCTCTTTACCTGTTTTGATAGCAGTGCTCGTAGAACTTTTCCGCCAATGAAAAGGCTTGCAGGTGCCACACGTTAACAGCTGCGATGCACCCGCGCAGGAGAGAGAGAGAGAGGGAGAGAGAACATCCATAACGCCAGAAGAGAAGAATAAATCAACACTTAGAGGAAGAAGGAGGATTTGAGGGAGTTGCAAAGTTCAGCAGTGCTTTTCTTAAATACCTGAACTGGCTCGTAGAGAGGTGCCGTTGTACCGTTATTCTGCACGGTAGAGCGTACACTCGCGTAGAGTACTGTCCGTTTTCAAAAAGAAAACTATAGAAACAAAGAACGCCCATGCTACCGTTCTTGATCGCATTGGGTCAGCGGAAGACGAACCGTACTTGGCGCTCTACCGCCATGTACGTACGGAACGAGGCCTCTTTCTTTACAGTAACGAGTTTGCGTGCGTTTTTGTTTTTGTTTTCCCTCCGCGTCGAGGGCGGGCCCAAAAAGAAGACAGATAAAGAGCTGAAAGTAAGTTTAACGGAATGAGTTGTTCTCCCATCCACTCTTGTGCTCTGCCTTTCTTCACGAGGTACAGCTTCTTCACCGTGTACGAGCCATTTGCTTCCCTTTACGATGACGCCTCCGTGAGGTAGAGGATGTACAGGAAAAGCCAGATTGTGGAAGAAAAGATGGCACTCACGTACATGCAGAAGATCATGCGTGAGTACTCGCGTGCGCGGTAGCCGTGCATAGCGCAGATCAGCGATGAGTTAATGGCGGATGGCGAGCAGCTCGCTACGAGCATCGACAGAAGAAACGGACGCTCATTCGGCATGAGGCCAGTCCTCACCAACACGTGCAGGACACCGAAGCAGATGGCGGGGATCACCGTGAGGCGCAGCGTCACGGTGGACCAGGTGAAGATGACCTGCGGGGAGACCTTGGTGGTGATCCACTGCACACAGGCGTTGGCATCGTCGTCGACGTGGGCGTTAGCCGAGTCCGCAGCGGGGGCTGAGGTGATCGCCGTGGCGGGTGGGGCAACCGTGTTGGGCGAAATCGGGTTGGATGCCGCTGCGACTGCCGGTGCCGCTGTGGCGCTCGCCGTGGCAGGCGTTGGGGCGGCCGGCGGATTCTTGCCAGTGTCCTCCTCGTCCGGTGGGCGGCTGGCTACAATGGTGAGACCCAGCACGAGCAGCTGCAGTGGAATGGCGCCTTCGCCAATTAACTTCATTCCACCAATGAGGGACTCGCCGAGAAAGCTCTGCGCCAGCCACCGCAGCGGTGGCGTGAGGGAGATAAAAAGGGCGATAAGACTGCTCAGTACCGGGGGTGATTTCAGCGATTTGATCACCGTGTGCGCCATGCGACGCGCCTTCTCCCCACCGGAGGGCCTCACCTCCGTCACGTCCTCGATGTTCATCTCGCCATCGAGCATAATCACCGGCGAGCCCTCCGGCGGGACGATGGGCCGGTCTTGCCGCCTTGCCGGCCGGTACCAGCCGAGCTGCTCCCGTGCAGTGGCGTCGCGGCGCTCCGCTGCTGTTCTCGGCGACATGGGCGAGGCGAGCGCTTCGTCCTCCTCCTCGGGTTCGGTTCGGGGTGACTCGAAGGGGTAGGAGAAGCTTCGGTTCTGGTAGGCCAGGGCCTCGCCGCTGGCGCCCATCGCTCGATAGTGTTCACGGCGGCGCGCCATCTCCAGCTTCTCCTTCTCCGCCTCCGCCTCCGCTACTTCCTTTCCCTTCGCCCACCCAATCATCGTGTCTCCGACAGCCCACAGTCCAATGGAGCAGAGAATGTTGTATAAAAAGATGTAGGACTCAGCGTCGACCACCGCCTGCCCGGTGAACCACTCGATGCCTTTCAAATTCAGCAGAATGCTCACCGGAAACGTCAGGCCATTCTGGAAGGTGCTGCCCAGCAGCAACACGTAGCGGTAGTCCCGTGTCAGGAACACCCGTACAATAAAGGAGCAAAGGAAACCGAGCGCCATCGGCAAGCAGGAAAACAGCGGTGCCCAGTAGAACTTGCCAAGCTGCTCCCACGTGACATTCAAACACAGGTTCGTGAACAGCAGGCACGGCAGGAAGATCTTCATGGCAATGTAGCTGAGACCTTTCTTACTCGGCTCTGGGTTGCTGAAGTACCGTGAAACGAGCATACCGGCAATGGCGCACAGCATAATCTTTCCCACCGTCGTTGCCGTGACGATCATCAAACCAACGTACAAGTTCATTTTGACGAAAGAAAGGGAAAAAAACCGCGATAGGCTTCAAATATGCAGAGAAGACAAGAGTTTTTGCGGCACGTGTGGTGCGACGCTGCACGAACGGAAGCAGGTGCGCTTTTTTTGGTCGAAACAATATCAAGAGCCAAGAATTACGGGAATTATTCCAGCGACAACAATTTATCCACCGTTTTAAACGTTGGGGGTACCTTTCTCCTTCACAGACAAACAGATAAACAATCACATCCACACACACATACACACACGCACACACAGGATCCGACAATCAAGCAACCGCGAACAAACTTTTGAGTTTGCTCTTTGCCTCCTTTTTAATGCAGTAAATGCGATGCAGTCACGAAGTATTGTACATGAAAAGATAAGTGTCGTTTGAAAATGAAGCAGGACATGTATGGCTTTGTCGTTGCTTACTCAACAAACGACACGAATCGATTCAAAACACGAGGAGCATAAAAGTAGCGTGAAGAGCCAAGTTGCGCTTTAGCTCCTCTCCGGCTGCTATGGAATCCTTAGGTGCTTCGCTTTTCTTGGGTGTTTGGATGCTGGCGCGACGTACTACTAAGTTTTCAAACACAGCAAATAGTAATAGTGTTATGAATAGCAATTAATACGTAGAAGATTAATGCGTTGGAGCAACGCGACGGCGATAATGGCCGTCTACGATTTTTTCTTTTTGACGGCAAAGGGGATACCCTGCGTCACGGCGTTCGCCGGTTGTAGCCACGTGAGTCTCCTAGACAGACGAAAAAAAGGGAGAGAATCAAATAGAGGTGCGTGTGACACTATCAACAGGAAAGGGAACCACACAAGCACAGTGTTGACAGCACCGCACATAGAAGAGACTGCGAGGGAAAGAGAAATGCCACGATGGTGGATTAAATTCAAAGTGAGGGAAAGCTGAGTTGACTCCGCAATGAGACGTGATTCATTCAATGGCCACTGCGGGAGATGTAAAAAAAAAGAAAAACATAGATCTCCATGCGTCGCGCCCTTTGTTGTGTTCCTTCCAGCTTGCAAGCTTGGTTTTAGAAACGTTTATTTCTGTCTTCTTCATGCTTGGCTTTCCCTTTTTTGTCGCTATTTCGAACGGTACACGGGCTTCACGTCGACGTCGTGGTGTGAAGGAGAGAGCAGCGTGTCGAGCAATCAGCAGACATCGAATATTTTCTTCTCCATAATTTATTTGAGTGAGAGAATTGCATGCAGCAGTGATATATTTGTTCAGATCGCACCCTTCTTCTTGCCCGTTGCCTCTCCACCTCTACGCGTTGCTGCCGCTAGCAGCCAAGTGCGGTTAGAGAATAATGATAATAAACGCCAGCCGCGGCTGCTCGTGTAGGAGCCACAAAGCGCGACGTAGAGTAGAAGTCGAGTGGAGAAGATATATTTTTTGTGTCGTTGCTTGACCCTACGTCGTCCGTTCGATGTACAAGACAAAGATGAAAAGCCAAATGGTGGTGCTGAAGGTGCACACCACGTACTGGACAAAGATCATGCGAGAGTAGTCCACGGCGTGGTAGCCGTACATGGCGCAGATAAGCGATGAGTTCATGGCGGACGGGGAAAGCGCCTCCGTCAGCATCGCCAGGAGAAAAGGCCGTTCCTTCGGCATGAGCCCCACCGACACGAGAAGGTGCAGCAGCAGAAAGCAGGCAGCCGGCAGAATGACCAGGCGGAGGAGGACGGTGCACAACGTGAAGATGATCTGCGGGGAGACCACCGACATCACGAAGCGCATGCACGCGTTCACGTCCGCACCCGATGCGCCTGCCGCTGTTGCGTCCACCGCCAACACCGCACCGCTCGAGTCAGTGGCCGCGGCGGGTGAAGATGCAGCGCCCCACGTCGACGGCGGCTTTACCTCTGCCTCTTTCTGCGTCGCAGGCGGGCCGACCAACGTGCAGCCCAACACCAGAAGCTGCAGTGGAATCGCACCTTGACCGATCAGCGTCATGCCACCGACGAGGCAGTCGCCCAGGAAGCTACGCGCCAACCACCGCAGCGGTGAGATGAGGGCGACGAGGATGGCTAGAAAACTCGCCAGATTCGGTCCGTTCGTGAGCGACTCGATCACGTTTTTCCGGAAGTGTGCTAAGCCGCCCTCCTTGCTTCCCTGTGCACCTGCATCACTCACGTCATCGCTGCCAAAGTCGTCGTCGCTCAGCACAGTCACCGGTGACCCCGGCGGCGGTGCAATCGGCTTGTCCTCTGCCGAGGCTTGGCGATACCACCCGAGTTGCTCCCGGGCCGTCGCCTCGCGCATTCTCCGTCGCTCCGGGAGAAGCGGAAACGGCAGCAGTCGCGGCTATCGTCGTGGCAGCGGTGCGGCGCTGTGCGTCTGGCAGAGCCTCCTGCGTCGACCTCTGGCGTGGAGACTCGAACGGGTAGGCGAAGCTGCGGTTTTCAAAAGCAGCGATCTCGTTCGCTGTTGCTCCCATGTGGATCAGGCGCTGACGTCGCAGCTCGGCCTCCTCCTCCTGCACCTCCGTCTGCTTCGCCCACGCGACCAGCGGCTCGCCGATGGAGTAGAGGCCAATGTTGCACATGATGTTGTACAGAAACACGTAGGACTGCGCGTCAGCCACGGCCTGTCCGGTGAACCACTCAATCCCCTTGAGGTTGATTAAGATGCTCACCGGAAACGTCAAGGCGTTTTGAAAGGTGCTGGCGAGGATGACGACGTAGCGGTATTCTTTGCTGAGGAGGCGACGCACAAGGAAGGAAGAGAGGAAGCCGAGGATCATGGGCACGCAGCCAAACAACGGGGCCCAGTAAAACTTGCTCAGCTGTTCCCACGTGACCGCGAAGCACAGGTTGGTGAAGAGCAGGCAGGGCAGGGCCACCCGCATCGCAATGTAGCTCAGGCCTTTTATGCTGCTGTCGAGGGTGCCGAAGTAGCGAGATATGACCGTGCCCGCAGAGGAAGTCAAAATAATCTTTCCCACCGTTGTGCTGGTGATGATCATCAGACCGACATAGAAATTCGTCATTTTTTCTGGAGAAGAAGAGGGGGGAGAGGGGAGGGGGGGGGGACAACCGATGCGTAAAACGCAGAGTAATTTTTAAAACAAAGAAGAAGGCATAAATCGATGTATTGAAACACAGAGGCGGGAAGTGCCTAGGCGTTTCCTAAATGCTATCCGAATGCAGGGAAACAAAGCAGCAACGGCGGTCCGCACCGATAAAACCTATGGGTAGTGAATCAAGGGTGAAGGTACAACAGTTCAGCTCCACCAAAAGCAGAAAACAAAGTATCATAATACAATAACAGAAGAACAAGCGCTAGCTCTTTTGCTCCAAAAAAGAACTCAACAAAGTTACGTGTCTCCTGCAGGTGGCCAGGCGCGCCTTCGATGTCTGAATTAAAGTGGTTGCATCGTAGATCAGTGGATGATGAGTGAGGGAAAGACGGAGCAAGTAGGTGCATATTAATTCTTGTCAAACAAAGCAACAAGTACAATCCTTTCAAGGCTAAGAAATACGAATCCGAATTCATCCTCCTCTGCGTGTGTCGGTGGTTACTCTCGTAGAAGCATAAGCGTCGGCTCAAGTACAAAGCACCATAGAGCCCGCCGTGGGTGTGCCTCTTAAAAAAAAAAGGGAGGTCTTTGGATAAAGATGAACAGTGACCGTTGTATTCGTTTTTTTCCTTTGCGTTCCTCCCCTCCGACTTGAGGGCTCCCGTGAGAAGTTGTGATTTACAGACTTAGCGTTAAATGGTGGTGTAGAGTGAAGAAGAAGAAAAAAAACCCGGAAAGTAAGTCAGATAGCAACACTCTCCCCTTTCGATCCGCATTAAAGACCACTAGTCTTGAGTATACCTTTATATAAATATAATTATTTCGTTTAGAGGACACGGTAGACGTAAATGTTTTGGATCTGCTCCTCCACTTCATCACCATCGTCGTTGTCGCCGTGGTTGTGGTGATGGTGGCCATGCTGATGGCCGTGGGCATGCTCATCGAAGTGTCCGCTCTCCACTGCATCTTCCTCATCGTCGTCGTCCTCGCGGGAAAGGGCACGTGTCGTTATGAAGCTGCTCGCCACCGCCGACACGTCCACGCGCTCAACAAACGCGGACAGCCACTTGAGCGGTGCCGCCGGGGCGCCTGCCTGCGTACCAGCCTCTGCAGTCCACGCCGTAGCCCACGCCCCCGCCGCAATCCCAGACAGCGTCTCCTCCAGCGCCGGAGAGCAAACCAAAAACTGCCCGGTGTGACAGAGCAGACGCCGCAGTTTCAGCCAGCACTTCGCGTGCTCGACCGGAGACGCGCAGAAGTACTCGAACACGTTGTGCAGCACGACGACGGACGCACGCGACAGCGCCTCCGCGCCAGCGCCGTCGAAGCAGTCGCTCTGCACCAAGTGCAGACGCGAGGAAACGTCCATCACATCCTCGACGTCGCTGGCGTTGCTGTCGTCGACGGTGCGGTCCAGCCTCGGCGCACGACGACGTCGTGGCATGAAAAAGCGGCGCAGTACGTCGTGGGAGAGTTTCACATACCCGCCGTCCATCTCCACGCCGGTGATGTGCACCTCCGGCTCCTCGTCGCCATGTGCGTCTTCCTCCTTTTCTTCAGTCTCTTCCCCCTCCTCGTCATCGTGATTTGGTGGCTGCACAAGAGCTCCCTGCTGCAGGGCAAACGCACTGGCCCAGAGAACAACACCGAGTCGGGAGCCCACATCGACGATACTCAGCGGTTCCGCAGCCTTTGCTGCTGGCTTTGCCTTCGCGGAGGTCGCTCTGATAAACTGCCGCAGCACGTGCGGAAACAGAAAGCAGCTCAGGTAGAGCAGCTGATCCTGTGAGAAGGAATGCGTGATGAAGTCGGCAAGGCCGATGTTGGTGCATCCGCAGCGCGTGCAGTATTCCCGCGCGAGCTTCTTCGCCGTGACGAGCTCCTCAATGTCGTCCTCGGAGTACAAGAAAGAATCCACGGCGAACACGGGGGTCGGCGCCACCGACGCCGAGGTTGCGTCTCCGCTGGCTGCCGTGGCCTGCTCGGTAGAACCGTCTGAAGAGCGTGGACGCTTCTTGGCTGAATGGCTCGCTGCGGCTTCCGCACAGCCGAGGATTTGTGTGGGCTCTGGTCGTGCACCGTAGGGCAGTCGGCTCTTCAGAAACGCACGTGTTCGTTCAAGGCCACGGTCCACCTCACTCACGGCCTCCACGAGCAGCGCCTCGTCATCCATCTCTTCGTCGGACACCGCCTCATCTTCTTCTCGAGAATCGGGGGTGTCGGCAGGACTCGTCGGCTCTCCCGTTGCACTCGCACGCGCCTGCAGTCGGTACTCCTTTAGCATGGCGCACAGCAGCTCCACCTGACTCGCGTCCCAGCGGCCAATCTCGTGGGACTCAAGCGCCGGGATGAGGGCAGTGAGAGTCTCTTCGACGCGCTCCATGGTGTTGCTTGATTACGGTGTCAACGGTTCTCCGTCGGCAAAGTATGGTGGCGCCACAGGTTGCTTGTATGTATGCGCATGTGTGGGAAGTCGAAACATCACGGGTCAACAACAACGCCATAGGGACGAAAGAACAGAAGGAAAACCGAGGAGACGCAGCGCGAAGATGTCGGCCTACATTTATATAAAAAGCTGCGTAGCCGTGACAAGAGTGGTACGTATAACTTTTGGTCTATTGCCGTCGATGCTTCACTAATTCACGGCAGTGAAGTTCAACGGTGGATGCAGAGAACGTAGCTGTTCGTTAGCCCGCTGATGCATCACAAAAGGCGGCAGCACCTTTCTTCGAGAAACACTCGCGTTTGACGCGTGCTGGCGATGCCACAACGGTTTTCCTTTCCCTTTAACCACAACAACAACGAAGATGCAGCAGCAGAACAACAACAGAAACAGAAAGAGAACACCCACTCCGCACCACAAGGCACGTCGTGCAAAGCTCGCACGACACCAGATGAAACCCCTACCCAATCTCCCTCTCACCGCCACGCCACCTAAAAGACGAAAATGTTCCAGTAGTACACAAAACAGTCGAAGCCGGTGTCACCACAGCAAAGGTAGCCCTTCTGCTCCAGGGAGCCGAGGATGTCCGCCGCCACCGCCGTCGAGACCTGCATTCGCTCGGCCAGCTGGACATCGCTGACGGACCGCAGCTCACCAGCGGAGGAAGGAAGCCGCTTTGCACTTGGCACGTGCAGCAGCGGCGTAACCCCGCTTCTCCGCTGCTGCTGCTTCCAGGCATCCTGCAGCGGAGAAGACTGCTCATTCACCAGCTGAGGGCCGAGCAGGGCGGCCAGTTTCGCCAGCAACAGCGAGTCGTCCTTGTTCACCAACGCCTTGCGTCCCGATGAGAGGGTGACTAAGTCGTAGCGCGAGCTCGACATCTTGGCGGTCATGTACCGGCACGCGTTGAGCACATCAAGCGGTGAGACCAAATCGCCACCGCGCGCTTTGTTGTACAACGCAAACAGCTCAATGAGCGGCACCACCGGCGTGTCGTTGAAGAGCTTCGCATTGCGCTCGTGCGTCATCCACGTGTGCAGCTCCTGCGCGAGATCCTTGTGAAACTGCGACTCGCTGCTGTCGCTGCCGCCGCGTGTCACCATCGTGCCGAGACCGAGCGTGGACTCGATGCTCTCGATCTTCGTGCGCTCGACAGCCATCTCGCTACCGGGGGCGGCGCCAGCGGCGGCCGTTGCCTCGTTGCGCTCGCGTAGCCGGCGGATGTTCGCCACCAGCGAGGAGGCTTTGTTCATCACATCATCCACGTCCTTCAGTGTTTCATTCATGGCTGCCGATTGCGCGGAGGCCTGCTGCACACCGGCAATACCGACGCCGCGCGGCACAGAAGGCAGCACTGCCGCCTGCGGCGCGGGTGAGCTGCCAGAGCCCGATGCTCCCGCCCCTTCGCGTGCGGTGGGTGTTGGCCGCGTGGAGGGCTGCTCGTTGCTGGCCCCTTGCGACAGCTTCGACGAGCTCGGCTGCACCCACGCCTTCTTCTCCAGAGCGTTCACAAATGCGGAAAAGAAGTTGTCCGCCCCACCAGAGCGAAAGGAAAGCTTCACGTAATTGTTTTGGGGTAGGGGGACGATGATTTTGGGACTGGAGAAGGGACCGAAGCCGCTGGCGGTGCTCGGCGACTGCCCAGCACGACGCACCAACTCTAAAGGCAGCTGCAAAATGCTGGAAGAGTCTGCCTCGTCTTGGTACATGAGATGGTGCGTCGTCAACGATAACTTACCCTTCGACCACTGTGTTTTGGCGTCCTTGTTGTAGAGGGCCACGCCGTGCTGCGTGAGCAGACACACCTCCTCCGCGTCCAGCGCCGTGCCGTTTGTTTTCCATTTCCAGTAGTTCATCTTCCGAGCCTTTTCTGCCGAGCTTTATCCCCTCTTTTTTGTTGCTGTTGCCGCAGAAACGAAAACAACTTCAACATTGTTTGACACGACGTAACGTACAGGTTGAGAGAGAAGAAGAAAGAGAAACGTGCAGGGAGCCGCGGGGAAGAAGTGGTCGGTTGAAGAAACCGCAGGAACGAGCAGCCGCCGCCGCTGCTTTGCATTCGCGTTAAGTGTCCGATTCACCCTTTGATTAATACACACATATATATATAGTTCTATTCACCAACGCCGTTACCAAAGAAGGTTTTGGTTTGTTGTGGTGGATGAGAGGGAGGAGAGGCAAGGATATCGATCGCACAGCATCTCACCTCACATCTGCTCTCGCACACACCTATGCACCCGTCGAGAACACCTTCAAAAAAGGACGCTTATAAAGCGCCGCAGTCAGTAAAGAACGCTGTACACGGACCCACGAAAAACACAACACCAATACGAAGAATGGGTGGTGCTACGCGCTATGGAGAGATCCGTCGCCATCCAAGCCAAAGAACAGCGTGTAGGCGGATACAACGATGGAAAGCAGCAACATCACACCCACCACCTTCACAGAGGTGGATAGTTCACCGCCAAAAAGGCCTCCACGACCGCCACCTTCGTGGTTAGCGCGGGTGCCCGATGCGTGCTGTTTGCGCTGCGCAGCCGTGGCCGCACGAGCCCTGCGCGCCTGCTGTGCGCGTGAGATTCCACTGCCAGCGTTGTTTTGCCGCCGCTTTAGACCCGCGAGCACGGTGGTATCTGCCACAGCGTCGTCGTCGCCGTTTTCACTGTGCTCCTCTCTCTCGGCTTCTCTCTCATCCTCTTCCTGTTGTTTTTCGGCGCGGTGCTCCGCTTGTAGGGCCTCGTGGCTCTGCTGGAGGGACTCGTAGCTCTCGCGGGCCACTGCCTTCGCCGCGATGAGGGCGTTCGCTCCTTCTGCGCTTCCTGCGCCGCTGGTGGCCAGTAACTCCACCACGGAGATGCCGTCAGCCGTGACGGGGTCACCCAGCAGCGCTTTGGCCGCCGCCGCCGGCACCGTCGCGCACAGCGCCTTCACGGCGGATGTGTTCGCCGCTGCAAGGGCGACGTGAATCAGCGCGTGGCCATTCTTGTTCCTCTCCGTCAGGAACAATCCGCTCTCGTCGTTGGCCAAGATAGCAGACAAGAGCGCCTCGTACAGCTGCACCGCAGATTTGGAGCTGCACCCCGGCCGGCTGCTTACCGCAACCTCCAAAGCCGACTGCCCGACTGTGTTGCGTGCGAGCGGATCGGCGCCGAGGCCCAGCAGGCGGCGCACCAGCGTCTCCACCACGGCGTCCTCCGCGTTGGCGGCGGCGACCAGAGCGTGCAGCGGGGAGTCGCCCGTGATGGTCGTGCGAGCGGACACCAACTGCGCCACTGCACGCACACCTCCCTGTGCGTCCTTTGCCTTCTCCAAGTATTCGCACAGCGCCTGCGCGACACCGAAGTTGTAGGTGGACTCGCCCAAAGCGAGATGCAGAACCGTGGCACCCTGCGCCTTGTCCGGTACGGCCAACAACGCAATGGGGTCCATTGTGAGCGCGGCAGACGACGCCGCCCGGGCATTTTCATCGCCACCGCCGTTCGTCCTGTCGGCGGGGGCGCTGCACACGCCGTCGAGGAGCTGCAGCATCAGGTTGGCCGCGTTCGAGGTGGCGAGAACGTGCAGCGGCGTCCGTCCATCCGCGTCCACCACGCGTGGGTCGGCACCGGCACGAAGTAGGACGTCTACCGCCTCTCCGTCTTCGTTCCAGCACGCGGCGTGCAGGGCGGTGGACTGCTCCGCGGTCTCATCCTTCTTGTTCACAGCCGCACCCGCACGGAGGAGCAACTCCCAAAAAGCGCGGTCGAGACTCTCCGAGACGGCGTACGACAGCGCCATCACTTTCTTGGCGTTGGGCTGATTCACTACCTTGCGAGCGGTCGGTTTCGGCGAAAGACGCACCTCTCCGCTCTCGGCATCGGCGATGCTGTCAAAGAGAATGTCCAGAAGCTCCTCTTCATCCTCGCGCTTCAGCGCCGTCCACATCTGCGAATCCGGTTGTTTTGCTTTGCCAGCGCTGCTCGGCGGCGCTGAAGCGTCACTTTTCAGCTGTTTGCCTTTACCTACCATTTTAGTTTCTCGCTTCACTAGTTCGCCTTCTTGTGCCGAGGTGCACTTGTGCGGCAGTCGCCTTCAACCTTAAAGAAGTCAACGGTAACAGTGCGAGTAGAGGGATGCAGAAGGGGAAAGAAGGAAAAGGTTCTTTGGGGTTGATTGAAAGAAAACGAAGAGTTGGCGTGACTGGGAAAAGCACAAAGAAATACACGATCATGCTCGGCGTGCACCGTGAAATCCACCGCCACCGCCAACGATAACGACAACGACAGCGATCGCTCGGTCAAAAGGGTTGTTTGCTTTTGCTTGAAGGTGTAGACGTGTAGAAACCAACTGCTCTCCCCCCCGCCCCCCTCCCATCCACGCACACCAGAAGAAGAGTAAAAAAAGACAACACCGAGCTCTCGACTCAACGGCAGCGATGATTTATTGGTCCGCTCAGGAAAAAGGACGTGCGCGACGCCATACAAACCCTCGTGCGAAGAATAACAGAGTAACATGTGCTTTTGTTTTTTCTGGTACTGTGAAAGCTACCGAGACCGCCGACGCAGCCGCTCTCGACAGGTGAAAGCAAAACGCAGAAGGAATAACAACAGATTTTTGTTTTGTTTTTGAGTTGCACGCTGGCGCGGCGCGCGGGCCTTCAATTTCCCGCCGGCCAAAAAGAACAGACAAGGCGAAGTGCGCAGGTCAGCGCGCTTGGAAACTTTTCCTGTTTTTCACTGAAACGGTGGAAGAGGCTTCTCATCCTTCTGCCTCAGTTCCTCGTCGCGATCACGGTCAAAGCCACGCGCGTCGATACCGCGCTTCGCCATCAGTTCGGCGCTCTCTTCGCGCAGCTGCTTGAAGATCTCCTCCGCCTTCATCTGCAGGTTGGTGTCATCGGGGTTCTGCGCGTATTCCTCCAGCACGGATTGCAACTTCTTCTGGTTCTTTGAGTTCCACGAGGCGAGGGGGATTTGGCCGCTGCCACGCTCGAGCGGCTTAGCCTGCGTCGGACTCGGACACCACGCGATGGTGTGGAACACCTCGAAGGTCGCCGGTGTCAGGCCGTTCTTTTTGTACATCGTGTCGTACGCCGCACAGACGCCGAGCAGGACGTCGCGGTTCATGGGGCAGCGCATGTAGTGGCAGGCGCTCTCGCCCATCACGGAGAGGTGCTCCATTAGGTGAAACGGAGTCTCGTAGAGGAGGAGGTGGCGGTCCAGGTCGATGGTGGGGATGCTAAAGCCGGCCTGCAGCACCAGCGTCGACAGTCCGGCGCCGTCGATCATGGGGGAGATGTGGGGCGAGACACCACCTAGCACCTCGGTCTGCGCCATCGAGAAACACCCGCGCAGCTCGTAGAGTGTGTTGCCGCCGAACATTGCGTTCAGGAAAAACCCATCCTTCTTGAGCACCTTACGGACGTTCACCATGGCCGTCTCCAGGTCGTTCACCCAGTGCATCGACAGGCACGAAACCACCATGTCGACGGACTTGTCGGGGATTCCATAGGGCGACTCTAGCTCCTCATCGCAGCAGATCTGCACAAACTCAATCTCGGGCGGGATGATGTCCTTGATCTCTGCGTAGTTGCGGTTGAGCCGGTCTTCGGAGATGTCGGTTTGGATGTACTGCTTCAGTCCGTGGAACTCTTTCTTCTCCATCATGTGGCGGAAGTACCAGCCGGTGTGCGCACCGACCTCCAGCACAACCGGGGTGTCGCGCTTCACAAATGACCGGCGGTCCAACATTTGCTCGGCGCACTGCTTGTGCAGATCACACGCTGGGGCAGAAACGAAGCTCCGCTGCAGCCCCTTCACTCTGCGGTCGAACATTTTGATGTTGAGACCGCGGGCCGGCGTGGACCGGGTCAGAACAATGGGAGACGGCATGCTGAAGAAAACAACGTGTTTTTCGTGTTGCGTTACCACTGTTCGGACACTCAGCAGCGACAGGCAATACGGGTTGGCGACAGTAACGCGGTAAACACGGAGATGAGAGTCAAGGAAGAAACGAAAGCAAAAAGAGTGCGATAAGGCTCGTCGCCGTGTGTTGGTGGCGGAGAGAAGTTTAAAAGAGCGGGAGAGGGAGAAACGACCGACGACGTCTGTTATTGTACCGCAGCCAGTAAGCCGCTTTCGTGCAGCCGCTGTTTGAGGTCGGCTTATTCGCGACGCAAGAGCTGACAACAGTAGCGAACGTGTTAAACACGAAATACACAAACAGATCAATGGGAAGTTGTAAAGAAAGAGAAGAAGAAAGGAGAACGAAAAGCGCACGTGAACAACATAAAAAAAAGACGACAGCGTATTGTTTCGTGCATCTGCAGATCGCAGTCAAGAAGAATACGATGCAGCCTCCGCGCCCTCCTCATCTCCCAATGAAACAAGGGCCAGCATCTTCGTTGCTCTTCACGTTTAACTAAACCAAATGAGGGGCGCGGTTCAAACAGCTTTCACACACCAGCACTAACATTTCGCACCCGCCTACGGAGCTAACTTTGACTGTTCCGTCAATTGACTACAGGTTGGCAGGAAAGAACGAGCGACGCATCGTGGGGATAAACCTTAAGTCTTCGTGTTCTCTGTTGCACCTCCTTCCGACTCTCTCTTTTTCCCGCACGGCCAAATACCGAGGCTGGAAAAGTCCACACACACACACACACAACGAGAGCAACCAGCGCGCGAGAGAGGCAACACTCAACGGGCACTTCAGAAAAAAAAGAAGCCCACGTCTTTAAGTATAAAAGCGCCTTTGACAAACAAGGGAGCCACCGACATGGATCAACTACGGTGTGACACACACCCACACACAGCGCAATCGACGGCGAAATAGTGGAAAAAGGAAATTGAAACATAATAGTACAGAGATGAGAGCGTACAGGAGGAAACAGACGACGAGCGATACAACAACAAAAATAAGCCACGCAAACAACACAGAAAACAAAACGCAAGTTTTATTCCAATTCAGACACTACGGCAACAGTAGTGATAAAAAAAAATCTATGCACACATGCTCCTTGGCCATAGCAGCGAAACGCATTTCTAAACGGCTTTCACCGCTGCGCGCTGGTCCGGCCCGGTGAGCGCTGCTTGCGGTTCGCTAAAAGCTGACCTGCACGCACCATGTGCTCCTCTAATTCAGACCACCCCGCCTCGTACTTTCGGAACGCGTCGAGAAGCATGTGGTACTTACTGTCCGTGTCCGACGACAGCGCGGCCAATCCAGTGCGTGCTCGCTCGTCCAGCGCCGCCAGCTCTCCACGCAGTGTGGACTGGTTCACGTTCAGCCGCGACAACTCCGCATCCACCGCCCGCGCACTCTCCTCGACGCTGCGGAAGTTTTCGTCGGTGCGGTCGCTCAGCTCCTCCAGCATGCGTCGCAGCCGCTCTGCCCCGCTCTCCCGCTCGATGCGCTCCGCACGCTGCTGCAGATCGCGCAGTGCCTCCCGCATCTGCTGCTCCAGGTCGCCGCGGTCCTTGTCGAGATCGCCGAGCGCTTTGCTGATGCCTTTGCGGTCCACCTCCGCTTGACGGGCGACGCCGTCCACGTCGGTGCCTAATTTGTTGACGGTGTCCCGCAGGGCCGCTGCCGCCCGATTGGCGTCGTCGGCAAGCCGGCCAGCTTGGTCTGCGTCCTGCGCGGCGGTGCTGGCCAGCCCTCGCACCTCTTGAAGCTCACGCGCTGCCCCATCCAAGGCGCGCTCAACGTCGTTGATGCGCGACCGTACGTTGTGCAGCTGCTCCGGTCCACCGAGCTCGCCAACGACGCCTTCTAACTGCTTTTGGTGATCCCGAATCTCACGCACGTCCTCTGCGATGTCGCCGAGACGTTCATTCAGCTGGTTTTGCGCGTCCACCAGATGTTGCTGCTGCTGTGCCATGCTGACCAGGACGTTGTTCAGATGGGAGCCGTCCATCTGATACCCGATCAGCGGGCGACTCTGGATAAACTCAACTGCATCCTCCATTACTGCCGTGCTCGCCAGCTGTGCGTCAGTTCGCGTGAAGGGGTGATAAGTTCAAACAACAACAAAAACAGAACGCAGCAACTACCTCTCACGAAAGAGGCTCAGCATGGATGCGTAGAAGAGAAGTAGAGGGGAAAGGGGGGAGGGGGAAGAGAGAAGAAGTGGGAAGCACTGAACACCATAACTACTCGAACGCAGCTACTACACAAGAGAGGCCAAATTCTCTGTGTAGAACTCACAAAAGAATTGCATGAAAGCGCGCAAACACACACATACATACACTTACACAAACAGCGCAAAACAGAAATGCCGAAGCACACGCTACAACTGTTCCCTTCCACAAGCGTTACAGAACAGTTGCTTGGAAGGACTTTCCTCTGCCATTTGACCCTTTTCAAATGTACGCGGAAATAAATAAAATGCGAGCGTCATCTCGGCGAAGAATACGCCGGACGACTTACAGGTAAACCAGCTAGGCCAGTTGCTTTCTTTACTTCTTCCTTCTTTTATCATTGTATTTGAGCCGATGAACAGCGACAACAAAACCTGCCTGATATATAGAATAAAAACAGAAAGAGGAGCAACCGATGAACTGGATGCTTTTTAGGATTCAAAAAACGCACATTCGAGGGAGAAGAAACGGACGCTCGTGTTTCTTGGCAGCGGTGGGATTTGCGCCGTTGCGCAATGCTCCTCTGCATTTCTTTCTAAAGGAAGGTATTGTCGCTGTTCACGCACCGTCGATCGCATGAAAGCAAATACTTCATAATGTTTATTTTCCTTTCTTTAAAGTCATGTGGAAAAAATGGAAATCACGAGAAAAAAGTTTTCAAAAAAAGGTGAAGTAAAATAAAAAGAAGATAATCAGCCCTTTGTGTTCAACCTGATATCGTGGAAGTGTCTGAGCTAAAGAAAAAGTTACTACTGCTGACTGAAAGAAAAATAAGAAGAAACAAATCCGCAACATAAAGAGTACGCACGCTCACACACACACACACACACATCGACAAAAAGAGGGGGGCAGAAAAGTCTACTCTGAACCACCTGTGTGAAGTGGCGATACCGTATATCTCTTGTACAGCTGCGAATGAGGATAATACTCGTGGCATACCCGTATGTGGAAAAACGCTAGTAAAAGTCATTTCTCCCCTTTATTGGTGCTCCTCATCACAAACCTCCTGAAGAATCCCTCTGCTGCAGGCGCCACCGTAACGGGACACTCTTCCATCCGCGTCGTGTTAACTAATAACAACGCTGGGTATGCCGCGTGAGCGCAAACGTAGCTCGCGTACTTCCATGGTCATGTGTGGTGTGGGACATACGAAAACAACCATTCGCTTTCGCGACGCCTCGGGCATTACTGTCGCGGCACCGCACGCCAACACGAATCATGACGTCACCACCACCACCACCACCACCACCACCCAGGAGCAACACCGTAGCAACCTCGCAAAAAGAACAAACACACAACACTTCACAGCAGCACACCCTGGACGACGCGAGGGAAAAATAGAAACAATAGCCGCCATGAGGTAAAAGCAATGAGGATTTAATACCAAAGAAGAGTAACGAAACACAGCAATGAAAAACAACGCGACATCACAGTTACAAGTCATTCATATCCGGCACAGAGAGACAAGCAAGAAAAGAAAGGTACCTGAAAAACAACAGCAACAAAAGAGATGAAACGAAAAAAAACCATCGCAGCCCCGTCGAAGGTATCCCAAGGCGCACGGACCTCCAATTGGGGAGCACACGGATTATTCCATTTCATTATGTACTGTTTTTATTTTTGATGGCACAGTACGAAGGACTCGGCTCACGTCTTAGCAGGTTCGTTTCGAATAGTTGCCGCGACGAGAGAACGCATGCAAAACACACAACACCAACAACAGCAAAACCCTCCGCGTTGATAGAGGTGGAGGGGGGAATAACGGCGGCGAACACCCCGACCAAGTAGAGACGTTCTACCACGGAACCAAAATCCCGCGAAGCAATCATATATACCGCATTTGTGTGAATGAGAACGACAAGTCGATGGAAGTGTCTGCAAGGTATCGAGTCGATCCAACGAACGGCTGCCGCGCAGCGCGGGGGATTAGCCGAAAATATATATAACCCCGCCGGGACGGCAGCGCTTCACGCCCCGCACCTTACAGGTTCGCCTTGGCGAACTCGTTGCCCTTCGCAATGTTCTTCTGGATCGTGGGCAGGGCCGCCTTCAGGATCTTCTCCTCGGACGGCGCCAGCCTGCCAATCGGCAGGCGCTTCACGATGCCGGTCTTGCCCAGCACCACGGGGATGGCCAGGAACTCGGACTCGTGCTGGCCGTCGGTGTCCACGTAGGTGTACACCAGCGGGTTGCCCGCGCCGGTCAGGCCCTCCACCACCTTCAGCGCGAAGCGCGCACCCGCCTCCGCCATCGACAGCGTCGCCGAGCCGCGGCCCGCCTTCGCCTTCACCACCTCCGTGCCCGCCACCTGCACGCGCGTCACGATCTTCGCCAGCGTCGCCTCGTCCGGCAGCGGGCCGGGCAGCTGGTGGAACAGCGGCACAATCGTGACGTCGCTGTGACCGCCCACCACGGGCACCTGGCTCACCGTCAGCGGCTTGCGGGCCTCGTTGATGAAGCGGGTGGCGCGCAGGCCGTCCAGCAGCGACACGCCCAGCAGGCGGTTCTTGTCGTAGCAGCCGAGCTTCTTCAGCGCCTGCGCTGCGATGGCCACGGTGCTGTTCACGGGGTTCGTCACGACGCAGAACACCGCCTTGGGGCTGGAGCTGCCGCAGGTCAGCACGAGGTCCAGGATGATGCCGGCGTTGATCTTGAACAGGTCGTCGCGCGTCATGCCAGGCTTGCGGGGCACGCCGGCCACGATCACGAACACGTCCACGCCCTTGGCCAGCTCGGCCAGCGCGGGGTCGCGCTTCACGCCGATCTTGCCGGCGGCGTACTTCACCGTCACACCGGCGTTGTCGATGTGCGACAGGTCCGCGGCAACGCCCGGCGCGCCGACAACGTCGAACAGCGACAGCGTGCTGCCGTAGGGCATCTGGCGCATCAGCAGCAGCGACAGGGACTGGCCGATACCGCCAGCAGCACCAACGACGCAGACGTGCACCATTTTGAGAAACGGGTAGGAGGTGTTAGGGTGAAAAGAAGAGAAATGTGTTTTTGTGGTGGGCGGGGAAAGCTACGGAGGGAAGAGGCGCAAGTTGCGTTATTCTGCGCACCCGCGTCAGCGTGCGTTGCAGGGTAGCACACCGGGAAAGAGGGAGAGGAAGGGGGAGGGGGGGGGGGGAAGAGCGTGCAAGGAGCATGAGGGATAGAGAGGGAGAAGGCGGTGCAAGGCGAAGAAGAGGCGCTCAGGTTGGGGGGGCGGAGGAAGAGGCAAGCGCAGGCAAGGCGGCGCGGCCGCCACTTACAGCCACAAACGCGCTCCCCCCAGGCCATGTGCGGGGTGCCGTGAAGAAGACATGTGCCGTGCCGGCCAGTCGCCTCAAGGGAGACGCGGGCATCGCACTGCGCGCTTCGCTACGCCATTTTGTGCTTTTATGGCTCCTGCTGCATTTCGTCGTGGCAGAGCGACGGGTGGTGGGGTGAGCGAGCACCACCACAGTCGGCGAAGAAAGAGAAAAGACGATATGTATATTGGAAAGCAACTGAAGGGAGAGACGAGGTGCGGGGCCAAGCCAACGCAACGAGGAAGAGAAGAGGGCGTGTGTGCGACGGATGTGCAGCGCACACGCATGGCCCGATTGACGGAGGAGAGAAATGCTGTCGCCGTTGTGGCGCGGCTGCTCTGTGTTCGCAGCGTACAGAACAACGGCGCGCGCTCTCCCCAGCGTCGGCTCCGCCGCCCATCGTGGTCTGGGGGACACTAAGGGAAACAATAGTGAGCCAAAAATAGGGTGGAAACGAGAAACAAAGAGACTTTTGCGGTTTTGGGAGCTGTGAGGCATGAGGGCGGTCAGCGTTATGCGAGAGTCGTCATTTCAAACCGACGCCGAGCAGCAGCAAAGGTCAAAGGCACTCCGCGGACCGCTGCTCATCACCGCACGAGAACTAAATAAAGAAAAAAGCGTTTTTTTTGGAGGGGAGGGGTGCCTCATCATGAGGTCAACGGCTGCGGTCAACCATCGCTTCCAGCGCGGCGGGGTAACGGTCTCCCTCTACGCTAAGGGCGTCAAAATTCTTTGTGAAGTCCGCAAGCTCGTCCGGCGTGAAGTGCACCGCGACAGACCCGATGTTCTCCTTCAGGCGCTCCAGCTTCGTGGTGCCGGGGATCGGCGCGATGAACGGGGCCTGCGACGTCACCCAGGCAAGGGCGATCTGACTGGGCGTGGCACCCTTCCGCTCCGCCATCTCCTTCACCAAGCTCACAAGCGCGAGGTTCTTCGCGACGTTGTCTTTCGAGAAGCGGGGGAGGTTGGCGCGGATATCGCCCGCGTCGAACTTCGTGTCGGCGTTGATGGTGGCGGTCAGGAATCCGCGGCCCAGCGGGCTGAAGGGCACGAAGCCGATGCCCAGCTCGCGCAGCGTGGGGATCAGCTCCTTCTCCGGCTCGCGGAACATCAGCGAGTACTCGCTCTGCACGGCGGTCAGCGGGAACACGGCGTGGGCGCGGCGGACCGTGGCAACGCTCGCCTCGCTCACGCCCCAGTGGCGGATCTTGCCCTCCTTCTTGAACTGCAGCATCGTGCGCGCGACGTCCTCGATGGGGATGGTGGGGTCGATGCGGTGGATGTAGTACAGGTCCACGTAGCTCGTGCGCAGCCGCTTCAGCGAGCCCTCGATGGCGTCGCGAAGGATCTCCGGCCGCGAGTCGGCGACGGACTTGCCGTCGCGCGTGTAGATGCCGCACTTGGTGGCGATCACCAGCTGGTCGCGCGGCAGGGTAGAGATGGCCTCGCCAAGAAGCTCTTCGTTCTTGTGCGGTCCGTACACCTGGGCGGTGTCGAAGAAGTTGATGCCGAGGCGGAACGCTTCGCGGATAACCTCAATGCTCCTCTTGTCGTCGCGAGCCTCAGGAGAGCCGATACTAAAGCTCATGCCCATGCAGCCGAGACCGATCTGAGAAACGAACAGGCCGCTCTTGCCGAGCTCGCGGCGGGGAAGAGTGGGAATAGCGGGCATGGGCAGCAAAGCAAGAGGTGCCGCAGCTACGCGTACTTTGGTGCGCTTTGTTGCTGTTGTAAGGAGTCGTAAGAAAGAACGGACGAAGTGCCAATGCGCGGAAAGAGCTCTTGCGGTGATGCGTCTTGTGTGACGGAGCGGCAACGAGACTCACATTCCAAAGAAGCGGAAAGAGCAGCAGCAATAAGCCGACCAAGCAACAACAGCAGGTTCAAGACGGGAGAGCGAGGGGTAGACACAGTTGCGCAGAGAGAGGAAAAAGAGCCACACACCTCTGCCACGCCGCCCCGCCTACAGCAAAGAGAGCAGGGTACAGCCGGCGCACCTCGTCGGGTGGTCTGCACAGCACCACGTAGCAGATGTACCATCAACCGGGCGAGATCGACGAGGCGCAGCGGCACAGCTGCCTACGCAGACAAACACGCCACTACACCGTGATGCCGTGAGAGAAAACCGTGCGGCGAACACAGGATTGCGCAAGGCGGCCTCCCCGGTTGGTCCATCGTTCCACTTCAAGCACGCCGCCACTGCGCACCTGATGGGCACCAGAACGATGCTGCTTTTATCTTTCCCTTTTTGTTCGTTCGCGGATTCGCCACACACACGCACACGCCACTCCATCGTCGTACGGTGAGGGGAAAACGGGAAATTGAAAACACTAAATATATCTTTTTTGAAACCGAGTACGACGCGGGAACGGGTCGTCGCGGCGGGGCCGCTGCGGAGACACTTCGGTCCCCTTGACCGCGTCCCACCACACACACCGCACTCTTCACCGTCGCTGTTAATTTTTTGATAGCACTTACACCATTACCAATCTTTGCTGTGCGCAGCGAGACTCAGGCGGCTGCGTGCGCGTGGGTCCCCCGCGTCACCTCCGCACTCGCAGCGCCCCATTGCCCTTCCCACCGCGTCCGAGTCGCCTTCGGCCCCATCGCCTCGCTGCCCCGCTGCGTTGTGACTGTGCGGGGAAAGGGGAGCGCGGGGCCGACGCACGAGGGCGTGCAGACCGACGAGGGCAAAGCCCCGTCAGCGGAGGGGCGGCGCGTCGGTCGGAGGCCGGGACGGCGCAGCAAGACGCGAGGAATGCTGAACAGGAGAGAAAAAAGAAGAAGGGAGAAGGTAGGGGAGGCAAGCTGGACGCCGGGACGGCAGCGCTTCACGCCCCGCACCTTACAGGTTCGCCTTGGCGAACTCGTTGCCCTTCGCAATGTTCTTCTGGATCGTGGGCAGGGCCGCCTTCAGGATCTTCTCCTCGGACGGCGCCAGCCTGCCAATCGGCAGGCGCTTCACGATGCCGGTCTTGCCCAGCACCACGGGGATGGCCAGGAACTCGGACTCGTGCTGGCCGTCGGTGTCCACGTAGGTGTACACCAGCGGGTTGCCCGCGCCGGTCAGGCCCTCCACCACCTTCAGCGCGAAGCGCGCACCCGCCTCCGCCATCGACAGCGTCGCCGAGCCGCGGCCCGCCTTCGCCTTCACCACCTCCGTGCCCGCCACCTGCACGCGCGTCACGATCTTCGCCAGCGTCGCCTCGTCCGGCAGCGGGCCGGGCAGCTGGTGGAACAGCGGCACAATCGTGACGTCGCTGTGACCGCCCACCACGGGCACCTGGCTCACCGTCAGCGGCTTGCGGGCCTCGTTGATGAAGCGGGTGGCGCGCAGGCCGTCCAGCAGCGACACGCCCAGCAGGCGGTTCTTGTCGTAGCAGCCGAGCTTCTTCAGCGCCTGCGCTGCGATGGCCACGGTGCTGTTCACGGGGTTCGTCACGACGCAGAACACCGCCTTGGGGCTGGAGCTGCCGCAGGTCAGCACGAGGTCCAGGATGATGCCGGCGTTGATCTTGAACAGGTCGTCGCGCGTCATGCCAGGCTTGCGGGGCACGCCGGCCACGATCACGAACACGTCCACGCCCTTGGCCAGCTCGGCCAGCGCGGGGTCGCGCTTCACGCCGATCTTGCCGGCGGCGTACTTCACCGTCACACCGGCGTTGTCGATGTGCGACAGGTCCGCGGCAACGCCCGGCGCGCCGACAACGTCGAACAGCGACAGCGTGCTGCCGTAGGGCATCTGGCGCATCAGCAGCAGCGACAGGGACTGGCCGATACCGCCAGCAGCACCAACGACGCAGACGTGCACCATTTTGAGAAACGGGTAGGAGGTGTTAGGGTGAAAAGAAGAGAAATGTGTTTTTGTGGTGGGCGGGGAAAGCTACGGAGGGAAGAGGCGCAAGTTGCGTTATTCTGCGCACCCGCGTCAGCGTGCGTTGCAGGGTAGCACACCGGGAAAGAGGGAGAGGAAGGGGGAGGGGGGGGGGGGAAGAGCGTGCAAGGAGCATGAGGGATAGAGAGGGAGAAGGCGGTGCAAGGCGAAGAAGAGGCGCTCAGGTTGGGGGGGCGGAGGAAGAGGCAAGCGCAGGCAAGGCGGCGCGGCCGCCACTTACAGCCACAAACGCGCTCCCCCCAGGCCATGTGCGGGGTGCCGTGAAGAAGACATGTGCCGTGCCGGCCAGTCGCCTCAAGGGAGACGCGGGCATCGCACTGCGCGCTTCGCTACGCCATTTTGTGCTTTTATGGCTCCTGCTGCATTTCGTCGTGGCAGAGCGACGGGTGGTGGGGTGAGCGAGCACCACCACAGTCGGCGAAGAAAGAGAAAAGACGATATGTATATTGGAAAGCAACTGAAGGGAGAGACGAGGTGCGGGGCCAAGCCAACGCAACGAGGAAGAGAAGAGGGCGTGTGTGCGACGGATGTGCAGCGCACACGCATGGCCCGATTGACGGAGGAGAGAAATGCTGTCGCCGTTGTGGCGCGGCTGCTCTGTGTTCGCAGCGTACAGAACAACGGCGCGCGCTCTCCCCAGCGTCGGCTCCGCCGCCCATCGTGGTCTGGGGGACACTAAGGGAAACAATAGTGAGCCAAAAATAGGGTGGAAACGAGAAACAAAGAGACTTTTGCGGTTTTGGGAGCTGTGAGGCATGAGGGCGGTCAGCGTTATGCGAGAGTCGTCATTTCAAACCGACGCCGAGCAGCAGCAAAGGTCAAAGGCACTCCGCGGACCGCTGCTCATCACCGCACGAGAACTAAATAAAGAAAAAAGCGTTTTTTTTGGAGGGGAGGGGTGCCTCATCATGAGGTCAACGGCTGCGGTCAACCATCGCTTCCAGCGCGGCGGGGTAACGGTCTCCCTCTACGCTAAGGGCGTCAAAATTCTTTGTGAAGTCCGCAAGCTCGTCCGGCGTGAAGTGCACCGCGACAGACCCGATGTTCTCCTTCAGGCGCTCCAGCTTCGTGGTGCCGGGGATCGGCGCGATGAACGGGGCCTGCGACGTCACCCAGGCAAGGGCGATCTGACTGGGCGTGGCACCCTTCCGCTCCGCCATCTCCTTCACCAAGCTCACAAGCGCGAGGTTCTTCGCGACGTTGTCTTTCGAGAAGCGGGGGAGGTTGGCGCGGATATCGCCCGCGTCGAACTTCGTGTCGGCGTTGATGGTGGCGGTCAGGAATCCGCGGCCCAGCGGGCTGAAGGGCACGAAGCCGATGCCCAGCTCGCGCAGCGTGGGGATCAGCTCCTTCTCCGGCTCGCGGAACATCAGCGAGTACTCGCTCTGCACGGCGGTCAGCGGGAACACGGCGTGGGCGCGGCGGACCGTGGCAACGCTCGCCTCGCTCACGCCCCAGTGGCGGATCTTGCCCTCCTTCTTGAACTGCAGCATCGTGCGCGCGACGTCCTCGATGGGGATGGTGGGGTCGATGCGGTGGATGTAGTACAGGTCCACGTAGCTCGTGCGCAGCCGCTTCAGCGAGCCCTCGATGGCGTCGCGAAGGATCTCCGGCCGCGAGTCGGCGACGGACTTGCCGTCGCGCGTGTAGATGCCGCACTTGGTGGCGATCACCAGCTGGTCGCGCGGCAGGGTAGAGATGGCCTCGCCAAGAAGCTCTTCGTTCTTGTGCGGTCCGTACACCTGGGCGGTGTCGAAGAAGTTGATGCCGAGGCGGAACGCTTCGCGGATAACCTCAATGCTCCTCTTGTCGTCGCGAGCCTCAGGAGAGCCGATACTAAAGCTCATGCCCATGCAGCCGAGACCGATCTGAGAAACGAACAGGCCGCTCTTGCCGAGCTCGCGGCGGGGAAGAGTGGGAATAGCGGGCATGGGCAGCAAAGCAAGAGGTGCCGCAGCTACGCGTACTTTGGTGCGCTTTGTTGCTGTTGTAAGGAGTCGTAAGAAAGAACGGACGAAGTGCCAATGCGCGGAAAGAGCTCTTGCGGTGATGCGTCTTGTGTGACGGAGCGGCAACGAGACTCACATTCCAAAGAAGCGGAAAGAGCAGCAGCAATAAGCCGACCAAGCAACAACAGCAGGTTCAAGACGGGAGAGCGAGGGGTAGACACAGTTGCGCAGAGAGAGGAAAAAGAGCCACACACCTCTGCCACGCCGCCCCGCCTACAGCAAAGAGAGCAGGGTACAGCCGGCGCACCTCGTCGGGTGGTCTGCACAGCACCACGTAGCAGATGTACCATCAACCGGGCGAGATCGACGAGGCGCAGCGGCACAGCTGCCTACGCAGACAAACACGCCACTACACCGTGATGCCGTGAGAGAAAACCGTGCGGCGAACACAGGATTGCGCAAGGCGGCCTCCCCGGTTGGTCCATCGTTCCACTTCAAGCACGCCGCCACTGCGCACCTGATGGGCACCAGAACGATGCTGCTTTTATCTTTCCCTTTTTGTTCGTTCGCGGATTCGCCACACACACGCACACGCCACTCCATCGTCGTACGGTGAGGGGAAAACGGGAAATTGAAAACACTAAATATATCTTTTTTGAAACCGAGTACGACGCGGGAACGGGTCGTCGCGGCGGGGCCGCTGCGGAGACACTTCGGTCCCCTTGACCGCGTCCCACCACACACACCGCACTCTTCACCGTCGCTGTTAATTTTTTGATAGCACTTACACCATTACCAATCTTTGCTGTGCGCAGCGAGACTCAGGCGGCTGCGTGCGCGTGGGTCCCCCGCGTCACCTCCGCACTCGCAGCGCCCCATTGCCCTTCCCACCGCGTCCGAGTCGCCTTCGGCCCCATCGCCTCGCTGCCCCGCTGCGTTGTGACTGTGCGGGGAAAGGGGAGCGCGGGGCCGACGCACGAGGGCGTGCAGACCGACGAGGGCAAAGCCCCGTCAGCGGAGGGGCGGCGCGTCGGTCGGAGGCCGGGACGGCGCAGCAAGACGCGAGGAATGCTGAACAGGAGAGAAAAAAGAAGAAGGGAGAAGGTAGGGGAGGCAAGCTGGACGCCGGGACGGCAGCGCTTCACGCCCCGCACCTTACAGGTTCGCCTTGGCGAACTCGTTGCCCTTCGCAATGTTCTTCTGGATCGTGGGCAGGGCCGCCTTCAGGATCTTCTCCTCGGACGGCGCCAGCCTGCCAATCGGCAGGCGCTTCACGATGCCGGTCTTGCCCAGCACCACGGGGATGGCCAGGAACTCGGACTCGTGCTGGCCGTCGGTGTCCACGTAGGTGTACACCAGCGGGTTGCCCGCGCCGGTCAGGCCCTCCACCACCTTCAGCGCGAAGCGCGCACCCGCCTCCGCCATCGACAGCGTCGCCGAGCCGCGGCCCGCCTTCGCCTTCACCACCTCCGTGCCCGCCACCTGCACGCGCGTCACGATCTTCGCCAGCGTCGCCTCGTCCGGCAGCGGGCCGGGCAGCTGGTGGAACAGCGGCACAATCGTGACGTCGCTGTGACCGCCCACCACGGGCACCTGGCTCACCGTCAGCGGCTTGCGGGCCTCGTTGATGAAGCGGGTGGCGCGCAGGCCGTCCAGCAGCGACACGCCCAGCAGGCGGTTCTTGTCGTAGCAGCCGAGCTTCTTCAGCGCCTGCGCTGCGATGGCCACGGTGCTGTTCACGGGGTTCGTCACGACGCAGAACACCGCCTTGGGGCTGGAGCTGCCGCAGGTCAGCACGAGGTCCAGGATGATGCCGGCGTTGATCTTGAACAGGTCGTCGCGCGTCATGCCAGGCTTGCGGGGCACGCCGGCCACGATCACGAACACGTCCACGCCCTTGGCCAGCTCGGCCAGCGCGGGGTCGCGCTTCACGCCGATCTTGCCGGCGGCGTACTTCACCGTCACACCGGCGTTGTCGATGTGCGACAGGTCCGCGGCAACGCCCGGCGCGCCGACAACGTCGAACAGCGACAGCGTGCTGCCGTAGGGCATCTGGCGCATCAGCAGCAGCGACAGGGACTGGCCGATACCGCCAGCAGCACCAACGACGCAGACGTGCACCATTTTGAGAAACGGGTAGGAGGTGTTAGGGTGAAAAGAAGAGAAATGTGTTTTTGTGGTGGGCGGGGAAAGCTACGGAGGGAAGAGGCGCAAGTTGCGTTATTCTGCGCACCCGCGTCAGCGTGCGTTGCAGGGTAGCACACCGGGAAAGAGGGAGAGGAAGGGGGAGGGGGGGGGGGGAAGAGCGTGCAAGGAGCATGAGGGATAGAGAGGGAGAAGGCGGTGCAAGGCGAAGAAGAGGCGCTCAGGTTGGGGGGGCGGAGGAAGAGGCAAGCGCAGGCAAGGCGGCGCGGCCGCCACTTACAGCCACAAACGCGCTCCCCCCAGGCCATGTGCGGGGTGCCGTGAAGAAGACATGTGCCGTGCCGGCCAGTCGCCTCAAGGGAGACGCGGGCATCGCACTGCGCGCTTCGCTACGCCATTTTGTGCTTTTATGGCTCCTGCTGCATTTCGTCGTGGCAGAGCGACGGGTGGTGGGGTGAGCGAGCACCACCACAGTCGGCGAAGAAAGAGAAAAGACGATATGTATATTGGAAAGCAACTGAAGGGAGAGACGAGGTGCGGGGCCAAGCCAACGCAACGAGGAAGAGAAGAGGGCGTGTGTGCGACGGATGTGCAGCGCACACGCATGGCCCGATTGACGGAGGAGAGAAATGCTGTCGCCGTTGTGGCGCGGCTGCTCTGTGTTCGCAGCGTACAGAACAACGGCGCGCGCTCTCCCCAGCGTCGGCTCCGCCGCCCATCGTGGTCTGGGGGACACTAAGGGAAACAATAGTGAGCCAAAAATAGGGTGGAAACGAGAAACAAAGAGACTTTTGCGGTTTTGGGAGCTGTGAGGCATGAGGGCGGTCAGCGTTATGCGAGAGTCGTCATTTCAAACCGACGCCGAGCAGCAGCAAAGGTCAAAGGCACTCCGCGGACCGCTGCTCATCACCGCACGAGAACTAAATAAAGAAAAAAGCGTTTTTTTTGGAGGGGAGGGGTGCCTCATCATGAGGTCAACGGCTGCGGTCAACCATCGCTTCCAGCGCGGCGGGGTAACGGTCTCCCTCTACGCTAAGGGCGTCAAAATTCTTTGTGAAGTCCGCAAGCTCGTCCGGCGTGAAGTGCACCGCGACAGACCCGATGTTCTCCTTCAGGCGCTCCAGCTTCGTGGTGCCGGGGATCGGCGCGATGAACGGGGCCTGCGACGTCACCCAGGCAAGGGCGATCTGACTGGGCGTGGCACCCTTCCGCTCCGCCATCTCCTTCACCAAGCTCACAAGCGCGAGGTTCTTCGCGACGTTGTCTTTCGAGAAGCGGGGGAGGTTGGCGCGGATATCGCCCGCGTCGAACTTCGTGTCGGCGTTGATGGTGGCGGTCAGGAATCCGCGGCCCAGCGGGCTGAAGGGCACGAAGCCGATGCCCAGCTCGCGCAGCGTGGGGATCAGCTCCTTCTCCGGCTCGCGGAACATCAGCGAGTACTCGCTCTGCACGGCGGTCAGCGGGAACACGGCGTGGGCGCGGCGGACCGTGGCAACGCTCGCCTCGCTCACGCCCCAGTGGCGGATCTTGCCCTCCTTCTTGAACTGCAGCATCGTGCGCGCGACGTCCTCGATGGGGATGGTGGGGTCGATGCGGTGGATGTAGTACAGGTCCACGTAGCTCGTGCGCAGCCGCTTCAGCGAGCCCTCGATGGCGTCGCGAAGGATCTCCGGCCGCGAGTCGGCGACGGACTTGCCGTCGCGCGTGTAGATGCCGCACTTGGTGGCGATCACCAGCTGGTCGCGCGGCAGGGTAGAGATGGCCTCGCCAAGAAGCTCTTCGTTCTTGTGCGGTCCGTACACCTGGGCGGTGTCGAAGAAGTTGATGCCGAGGCGGAACGCTTCGCGGATAACCTCAATGCTCCTCTTGTCGTCGCGAGCCTCAGGAGAGCCGATACTAAAGCTCATGCCCATGCAGCCGAGACCGATCTGAGAAACGAACAGGCCGCTCTTGCCGAGCTCGCGGCGGGGAAGAGTGGGAATAGCGGGCATGGGCAGCAAAGCAAGAGGTGCCGCAGCTACGCGTACTTTGGTGCGCTTTGTTGCTGTTGTAAGGAGTCGTAAGAAAGAACGGACGAAGTGCCAATGCGCGGAAAGAGCTCTTGCGGTGATGCGTCTTGTGTGACGGAGCGGCAACGAGACTCACATTCCAAAGAAGCGGAAAGAGCAGCAGCAATAAGCCGACCAAGCAACAACAGCAGGTTCAAGACGGGAGAGCGAGGGGTAGACACAGTTGCGCAGAGAGAGGAAAAAGAGCCACACACCTCTGCCACGCCGCCCCGCCTACAGCAAAGAGAGCAGGGTACAGCCGGCGCACCTCGTCGGGTGGTCTGCACAGCACCACGTAGCAGATGTACCATCAACCGGGCGAGATCGACGAGGCGCAGCGGCACAGCTGCCTACGCAGACAAACACGCCACTACACCGTGATGCCGTGAGAGAAAACCGTGCGGCGAACACAGGATTGCGCAAGGCGGCCTCCCCGGTTGGTCCATCGTTCCACTTCAAGCACGCCGCCACTGCGCACCTGATGGGCACCAGAACGATGCTGCTTTTATCTTTCCCTTTTTGTTCGTTCGCGGATTCGCCACACACACGCACACGCCACTCCATCGTCGTACGGTGAGGGGAAAACGGGAAATTGAAAACACTAAATATATCTTTTTTGAAACCGAGTACGACGCGGGAACGGGTCGTCGCGGCGGGGCCGCTGCGGAGACACTTCGGTCCCCTTGACCGCGTCCCACCACACACACCGCACTCTTCACCGTCGCTGTTAATTTTTTGATAGCACTTACACCATTACCAATCTTTGCTGTGCGCAGCGAGACTCAGGCGGCTGCGTGCGCGTGGGTCCCCCGCGTCACCTCCGCACTCGCAGCGCCCCATTGCCCTTCCCACCGCGTCCGAGTCGCCTTCGGCCCCATCGCCTCGCTGCCCCGCTGCGTTGTGACTGTGCGGGGAAAGGGGAGCGCGGGGCCGACGCACGAGGGCGTGCAGACCGACGAGGGCAAAGCCCCGTCAGCGGAGGGGCGGCGCGTCGGTCGGAGGCCGGGACGGCGCAGCAAGACGCGAGGAATGCTGAACAGGAGAGAAAAAAGAAGAAGGGAGAAGGTAGGGGAGGCAAGCTGGACGCCGGGACGGCAGCGCTTCACGCCCCGCACCTTACAGGTTCGCCTTGGCGAACTCGTTGCCCTTCGCAATGTTCTTCTGGATCGTGGGCAGGGCCGCCTTCAGGATCTTCTCCTCGGACGGCGCCAGCCTGCCAATCGGCAGGCGCTTCACGATGCCGGTCTTGCCCAGCACCACGGGGATGGCCAGGAACTCGGACTCGTGCTGGCCGTCGGTGTCCACGTAGGTGTACACCAGCGGGTTGCCCGCGCCGGTCAGGCCCTCCACCACCTTCAGCGCGAAGCGCGCACCCGCCTCCGCCATCGACAGCGTCGCCGAGCCGCGGCCCGCCTTCGCCTTCACCACCTCCGTGCCCGCCACCTGCACGCGCGTCACGATCTTCGCCAGCGTCGCCTCGTCCGGCAGCGGGCCGGGCAGCTGGTGGAACAGCGGCACAATCGTGACGTCGCTGTGACCGCCCACCACGGGCACCTGGCTCACCGTCAGCGGCTTGCGGGCCTCGTTGATGAAGCGGGTGGCGCGCAGGCCGTCCAGCAGCGACACGCCCAGCAGGCGGTTCTTGTCGTAGCAGCCGAGCTTCTTCAGCGCCTGCGCTGCGATGGCCACGGTGCTGTTCACGGGGTTCGTCACGACGCAGAACACCGCCTTGGGGCTGGAGCTGCCGCAGGTCAGCACGAGGTCCAGGATGATGCCGGCGTTGATCTTGAACAGGTCGTCGCGCGTCATGCCAGGCTTGCGGGGCACGCCGGCCACGATCACGAACACGTCCACGCCCTTGGCCAGCTCGGCCAGCGCGGGGTCGCGCTTCACGCCGATCTTGCCGGCGGCGTACTTCACCGTCACACCGGCGTTGTCGATGTGCGACAGGTCCGCGGCAACGCCCGGCGCGCCGACAACGTCGAACAGCGACAGCGTGCTGCCGTAGGGCATCTGGCGCATCAGCAGCAGCGACAGGGACTGGCCGATACCGCCAGCAGCACCAACGACGCAGACGTGCACCATTTTGAGAAACGGGTAGGAGGTGTTAGGGTGAAAAGAAGAGAAATGTGTTTTTGTGGTGGGCGGGGAAAGCTACGGAGGGAAGAGGCGCAAGTTGCGTTATTCTGCGCACCCGCGTCAGCGTGCGTTGCAGGGTAGCACACCGGGAAAGAGGGAGAGGAAGGGGGAGGGGGGGGGGGGAAGAGCGTGCAAGGAGCATGAGGGATAGAGAGGGAGAAGGCGGTGCAAGGCGAAGAAGAGGCGCTCAGGTTGGGGGGGCGGAGGAAGAGGCAAGCGCAGGCAAGGCGGCGCGGCCGCCACTTACAGCCACAAACGCGCTCCCCCCAGGCCATGTGCGGGGTGCCGTGAAGAAGACATGTGCCGTGCCGGCCAGTCGCCTCAAGGGAGACGCGGGCATCGCACTGCGCGCTTCGCTACGCCATTTTGTGCTTTTATGGCTCCTGCTGCATTTCGTCGTGGCAGAGCGACGGGTGGTGGGGTGAGCGAGCACCACCACAGTCGGCGAAGAAAGAGAAAAGACGATATGTATATTGGAAAGCAACTGAAGGGAGAGACGAGGTGCGGGGCCAAGCCAACGCAACGAGGAAGAGAAGAGGGCGTGTGTGCGACGGATGTGCAGCGCACACGCATGGCCCGATTGACGGAGGAGAGAAATGCTGTCGCCGTTGTGGCGCGGCTGCTCTGTGTTCGCAGCGTACAGAACAACGGCGCGCGCTCTCCCCAGCGTCGGCTCCGCCGCCCATCGTGGTCTGGGGGACACTAAGGGAAACAATAGTGAGCCAAAAATAGGGTGGAAACGAGAAACAAAGAGACTTTTGCGGTTTTGGGAGCTGTGAGGCATGAGGGCGGTCAGCGTTATGCGAGAGTCGTCATTTCAAACCGACGCCGAGCAGCAGCAAAGGTCAAAGGCACTCCGCGGACCGCTGCTCATCACCGCACGAGAACTAAATAAAGAAAAAAGCGTTTTTTTTGGAGGGGAGGGGTGCCTCATCATGAGGTCAACGGCTGCGGTCAACCATCGCTTCCAGCGCGGCGGGGTAACGGTCTCCCTCTACGCTAAGGGCGTCAAAATTCTTTGTGAAGTCCGCAAGCTCGTCCGGCGTGAAGTGCACCGCGACAGACCCGATGTTCTCCTTCAGGCGCTCCAGCTTCGTGGTGCCGGGGATCGGCGCGATGAACGGGGCCTGCGACGTCACCCAGGCAAGGGCGATCTGACTGGGCGTGGCACCCTTCCGCTCCGCCATCTCCTTCACCAAGCTCACAAGCGCGAGGTTCTTCGCGACGTTGTCTTTCGAGAAGCGGGGGAGGTTGGCGCGGATATCGCCCGCGTCGAACTTCGTGTCGGCGTTGATGGTGGCGGTCAGGAATCCGCGGCCCAGCGGGCTGAAGGGCACGAAGCCGATGCCCAGCTCGCGCAGCGTGGGGATCAGCTCCTTCTCCGGCTCGCGGAACATCAGCGAGTACTCGCTCTGCACGGCGGTCAGCGGGAACACGGCGTGGGCGCGGCGGACCGTGGCAACGCTCGCCTCGCTCACGCCCCAGTGGCGGATCTTGCCCTCCTTCTTGAACTGCAGCATCGTGCGCGCGACGTCCTCGATGGGGATGGTGGGGTCGATGCGGTGGATGTAGTACAGGTCCACGTAGCTCGTGCGCAGCCGCTTCAGCGAGCCCTCGATGGCGTCGCGAAGGATCTCCGGCCGCGAGTCGGCGACGGACTTGCCGTCGCGCGTGTAGATGCCGCACTTGGTGGCGATCACCAGCTGGTCGCGCGGCAGGGTAGAGATGGCCTCGCCAAGAAGCTCTTCGTTCTTGTGCGGTCCGTACACCTGGGCGGTGTCGAAGAAGTTGATGCCGAGGCGGAACGCTTCGCGGATAACCTCAATGCTCCTCTTGTCGTCGCGAGCCTCAGGAGAGCCGATACCAAAGCTCATGCCCATGCAGCCGAGACCGATCTGAGAAACGAACAGGCCGCTCTTGCCCAGCTCGCGGCGAGGAACGGTGACGTGGTGGGACATAGTGGAAAAAATGAGGTGGTTAGAGAAGAAAAGATTGTGGTGAAGCGCGGTGGTACTGGTGGTGATGGTTGCAGCGGTGCGTGCGATTATTGTTGCTCTTGAAAGTGAACTCAGAGCGATGGAAATCCGTTTGTTTGCGCAGACCGCAGGTCGAATTTTCACTCGGTGATGCAGCGGTTGCAGTTAGGGGCAGAGAAAAAAAGAAGAGATGAAGTCGAATAAAAACTAGACTATGGGCAGAGAGGAGAAAGCTGTGGAGTGATGACAAAGAAAAGAGAACGCACCGGGGACGGAGGAGTGTGACGATGAAGGTGCCGCCAAAAGTCTTTATCCGTGCTAAATGAGCTGTGCACATAACCGCTTTCTATAGTGCTCTCTCTCTGAAGCACTGTGGTGGAAAGAACCACGTTGACTGCCACTGCGTGAAGAGGAGAAGGGAAGACATGTTGCCGCTGATCATGGTAGTAGTGGTGCGTCCGTGCTATCAGTTCATTTCGTGTTACGCGTGTTCTGGTAGTCTCTCTCTCTCTCTCATTCTTTTCTTTTTAATTAATATCTTTTGTCTAGGGGGTGTCTCTAGAAGATAGGAGAACAAAAGAGGACAATTGAATGTACAAGCGTACGACCTGTGAAAGGCATGGCGTGTCTATCAGGTGCAAAAACAGCGGCAAGAAAAGAAAAATGAAGACCGTACAAAACTTTCTAAGATCATCAACATATTTACGTGGTTATATCTCATGATTGTTATGGATATCGTTGGCCATCTGTAGTCCTTCTCCTTTCTTCCTGCGAAGGCGATAGCGGAAACAGTGAGAGTCAAAAATAAAAATAAGAAGAATAATGGTAATACGTTACAACGCTATCGAGACGTGTTGGCAACCAACGCAACAGACAAACAGACAGACAGGGGCTCTCACTCCGCTGGCAGAAGGCTGCTTGGTGCGTGACTCGCCGACGGGCCCTGCCAGGACGTCGACTCGGAGTCACCGAGGTTGAAACCCACCGAAGCTTTCGACGCCGTCCGCGAGAACAACCCCGCACTGGCACGGCTGCCACTCGCCTCCACTTTCGCAAAAAACAGCGGTGTTGATGGCGGCCGGAAGGAGGCGGTGGTGTACAGGTTGCTGCCGCGACGCACCGGTGTTGTCGCACCCGGGCGTGGCTCCCCACCGCCGCCGCTGCGGGCGTGCAGGACGGAACTGTGGCGCCGCACCGCCTGCGAGGGGCCATGCGGGGCGCCGGCGCCGACGGTGGTGGGCAGCGGTGCGGCCCCCGTGGCGGTGCGGCGGAAGAAAGAGCTCAACATGCCGGTGACGCCACCCGCCGCGGTGCTGCCGACAGCCGGGGAGGCGGAGCGGCTGGCGAAACTGCCGTTCGACACCGTCTTGTTCGCAACGGCTGCGCCGCCGGGCAAGGGGGGGACACCGCTGCCGCCGGTGCCACCCACGCCAGCACCCTGACCCAACGCCCCGCCACCGCCGGAGGACTCAAATTGATTCATGCTCACGTTGAAGTCGAGATCCTCTCGCATTTGCCGGAGTTCCTTCGACTGCTTGTCAATCGTAGCGCGAAGTGCCTCTTCAGTTTGGCGGGCGTTGTGCTCCAGCGCGCGCCGCTCCTTCTCCATGGCGCGGAACTGTGCCTCGAGCTCCGTCACGGTGTCCACCTGTTGGGTGACGAGCTGCTCGCGCTGACGCTCCATCAACGCCTCCTGCGCCTTCTGCAGCTCTGCCTTTTGGGTCTGGAGCTCGTTTATTTCGCCGCGGAGACCATCAATGGTTGCCTGCGCTGATTCCAGCTGTGCTGTCTGCTGCCCAATGCGCTGCTCCTGTTCGACGGCCACGCTCTCTTGTGTGGCCAACTGCTGCTGTGTGGAGCTGGACACCTCACGCGCTTCCTGCAGCTCACGGGACAGCTTCGCTACTTCCTGCGTCAGCTGCGCGGCGAAGGTTGTGGTCTTTGTTAGATCCTTCTGAAGCTGCGCCGCCTCTGCTGCAGACGCGGCGCGTGCCCTCTCCGTACTCTCCTGGCGAAGCCGCAGCTCAGTGGTAGTCTGCTTCTCGTTCTCCAGGTGCATTCGCAGGTAATCTTGCGTCTCCACCATGTGCTTCATTTGGTTCCGCGTGTCTTGCAGATCGTCGCGGAGCGATCGCGCCGATGTAGTCTGGTACGCCAGCTGCGCCTCGAGAGACGCAAGATGGTCCGCGTAGCTTTTCTTCACCGCGGCCACCTGCTTCTTGTGGCTCGATTCAAACATGTCCTGCATCGCCTGCAACGACTTCGAGTGCGCTTCGGCCTGCTTCATAGCCTCCTCCGCCTGCGCCTCGCGGGCCTGCGTGGAGAGCTCCAGCTGCGCTTGTAAATCGCGCAGTTCCTCCTGCAGCTTCGCCACCGCCGCAGCAGCTTTGTCGGCCTCCTTTGCCATGTCTGACTTCATGCGGTGCACTATCGCCTCGTGTGCGGTGTCGGATGCCGCCCGTACTCGATCCGCCTCCGCGAGTTGCGCCTGCAGAGCCTTCATGACGGTTGCGTGCGCTGCGGACTCGCTGGCAACGCGCTCCTGCTCCCTCTCGCGTGCCTTAGCGATGTTTTGTGCCGCCGTCTGCGCCGCTGCCAGCTGCGCTTCTAGCGCGCTCGTTGACTGCGCGTGTTCGACCGCCTGCGCAGCCGCGGTTTGTCGTTGAATGTCCAGCTCCTTGTGAAGCGCCGCCGCCGTGGCGTCCGCCGCCGCCGTCGTCTGCTCGAGCCTGTGCTCTGCGTCTTGGAGCTGCTTCGTGAAGGTTGCAGCAGCGTCGGCAGCTTCTTCGCGCTCTCTTTGAAGTTGACGCTGTACAACAGCAAGGGTTTCGCTGTGCTCGTTGGCCTCTGCAAGAGACGACTGAACGGCCGTCCTCCGCGCCTGCTCCGACTTGGCCAGGTCATCCTGCGTGTGTTTGAGTTCGTCCTTCACCGTCGCCAGTTCGCTTTCCTTCTCCTTCAGCTGTGTCCGGGTGAGTTCCTCGTGCGCTCGCAGCTTTCCGTGGAGGGCGTTCACCTGTGCTGTCAGGTCGCCCTCTTTGGTTTGGTACTCTTGCTGAAGCGCAGCGACTTCTTTTGCGTGGGTCTCTTGGTACGCTGCGGCTGCTGCCAGCTTGTCGGTCAACTCCTTCTCCCTCTGCGCGTGCGCGGACGCCTGCTCGACGCTGCGCTGGACGTGCGTCTTGCGAGCCTCCTCCGATTTTTGCAGCGCTTCGTGGAGGCCGTCCAGCTGGGCTTCCAGTGAGGCGATTGTCTGACTGCTGCTCGACTGCGCCTGCCGCAGGAAGGCCTGCACCTCCTCCAGCTGACGTTGAAGCTCCGCCGTCGCTTTTGCCGCCTCCGTCTGCTGCGCACTGAGCCTGCTCTCCACATCACGTACCCGCTGCTCGTGCACAGCCGCGTCCGCCGCCGCGTCGACCTGTGCGGTTGTCAGCTGTGCGCGCACTTCCTCCATCGCCTTCGTGTGCTCGCCCGCCTGCTCCAGCGCGCGCTCAATTTGGTGCCGGCGCGCCACCTCGGAGCGCTGCAGCTCCGTGCGTGACACCTCCAACTTCTGCGCGAACTCCGCAGAGGATTGGGCGTGTTGGGTGTTCGCCGTCTCTAGCGCTGCAGCGTGTGCGTGGAGCTGCTCTGTCAGTTTCTCCGCGTTGGCCTGGGCCGCCCGCTCGTTGCGCGCGCCTTCCTCACGCAGCATCCGCATCTCCTCTGCGTGCGCCGTGGTGAGTACGTCGTGCGCTGCCCTTTCCTCCTCGAGTTCTTGGCGCAGGGCTTCCAGCTCGGCTGCGTGGGCGGCGCTCTCCTCCGCCCCGCGGCGCTTTACGCACTGCAGCGTCTCCTCCAGCGTGGTCCGCTGCGCCTCCAACTCAGCGATTTGATCGCTCAGTGACGCACGCATTTCTTCACCCTGCTGCTGTTGGCTCAACAACTGCGTGGTAACACGTTGCATGGCGACGGCGGACTCCTCCCCTGCAGAGGCCTTTGCAGCCCTTTCCGCCGCGACCTCCTCGCGCATCGCTTGCAACTGCTCCGCGTAGGCGGCTGCCTGCTCCCTCGCGCGTTCCAGCAGATCCTGCCGTGCCTCCTCTGCCTTGCTGCAGTCCGCACGTGCGGCGGTGAGCTGCGCGGTGAGGTGGCGCGCGGTGTCGTCGCTGCTGGCGGTGTGAGCATCGAGTGTTCGCAGCAGCTCGTCAACATGCTGTTGCAGCGCTGCAGCGTTGGCAGTGGCCTCGTCGGCACGTGCGCTCGACTTCATTGCGTCATCGAGCTCGACTTGCAGGGCTGCCAACGCCTCTTCCTGCTGCTTGGCCTGCTCGATGCTGTGCTGCGTTTCGGCTTTGTGGGTCTCTTTTTCGTGGTGCAGTTCGACGAGAACTCGGCTCAGTTGATCCACCAGCTGCCTCTCTTTGGCTTCCAACCCGGACACCTGCGCTGCATGTTCAGCTTTCTGCTCCTCCAGTTGCTGTGCGTGCGCCGTTTCCAGCGTGGTGACGGCTGATGCTGCAGCTGCTAGTGCGGAGTCCTTGTCTGTTAATTGACGTGCATGCTCGACTGCGGCGGCAACAAAACCCTCCTTTTCTCGCTGCAGTTGCTCACTCAGTACCGTGACCTCGTTTCTGATGCTCCGCTCCTGCCGTAGTTGCGCAGCAGCAATCTCCTGTTGTTCCGCGGCAAGTTTGCGAACGGCGTCTACTTGCTCCTGCAGCTTTGCAATTTCTTGGCGATAGGTCTCAGCGGCTTCGTTGTTGGATGCCGCCATACCCTCCAACTGTGCTTTCAGGCGTGCCGACGCAGCGACATGTTCGTCGGCGACTTCCTTCAGCATTGCGTGCGCAGCCTGAAGCTCGCCGTGTCGTGCCAGCAAATCCGCCAGCGCTTTGGCTTGGCCGTCGGCTGTTGACTGCAGGTCTGCCAGCTGCGCCGCATAGGCTGTCTTCATGCGCATCTCTCTTTCCGCTTCCTCCTTTGAGAATTGCACTGCTTGTTCAACCGAAGTGCGTGCGGCCTTTTCGTCGGCCACCACGGCGCTACGTCCGGTGCGTTCGTGTGCCATGAGCACGTCCGAGATGGAAGTAAAAGAGAAGGTGGGACGCTCCTCCACCGGCCCGTTCATCCACTGCCGAACGTCTTTGTTGCCCTTCCGCTCGTCTTTCAACGTACGCCGCAGCACCTGCATCTCCTCCTGCAGACGTCGCATCGCGTCGGCGTGGTGATCGTTCAGCTGCTTCTCCAATGTCTGCAGCGTATCCTGCGCACCCTTCAGTTCCTCCTTGAGCTTCTTCACGTCCAGCTGACTCTTGCGAAAGGCGTCGCTGCGCTCCTGCACCTGCAAATTTAGCATCTTCTTCTCCTCGTTGAACTGCGCACACAGCCGCGCCTTCGCCGCCACCCAGGCGGCCTCTGCGCTGTCTGCCGAGGCCGCCGTCGCATCCAGAGCCGTGGCGCCGCCTTTCAACTTCTTACTGACCTTTTTCCCCACAGCCGCCTTGTGGGCTGCGTGCTTCTCAGACGATGACAGACTTGCTGCCGCCACGCCGTAGGTGGCACCGCCGCCGACGTGCCCCGAGCCCCCGCACGGCGACAGTAACGGCGAGCTTGCCGTCATCGACGACTCCTCTGCCTTCGCCCGCTCCTGGAACAGTTGCTGCTGAAGCTCAATGATGCGCTTGTCTCGGTCTTGCCTCTCCTTCTCCAGCTTTTTGGTGGACTCCTGCGACTCTTTGAGATCGGCGAGGAGCTGCGTGTTCTTGGACTCGACTGCCTTGACTCGCACCATTGTGCGATGCAGTTCCTCCTCCGTCTGCAGATGCAGCAGGTTCTCCGCCTCCAACCGGCGGACATCCGACTTCGCCTTGGACAGCTCCTTCGCTGCCCCGGCCGCCCCGGCGTTGCCGGCCTTCAGTGTCGAAGGCAGCGTGGAGGTGACGCGGCGAAGCGCCTGCAGGCTGGAGAGCTCCACCGCCTTCTCATCGAGCTCGGCACGGGTGTCGCTCAGCTCCTGCTCCAGGGAGTGAATGCGGTCCTGCAGCGCCTCGACATCCTCGTCGTTGTCGGGGGCTTTGCCCTCTGCAACGAGCAACGCCTTCAGCCGCTGCACCTCCGCCGTGAGTGCCTTGATCTGCCGCACCTGCGGGTCCTCGTTCACCACCACCTTTGTCACAATCTGCTTCGCTCGACTGGCGTAGCGCAGCGTCTGGCAGGCCTCCTCGAAGTTCGTGCAATGCGGGGACACTGTGGCGACCATGGTGGTCTTGCTGTTGCCGCCCAGGGAGTCCATCAGCAGCCAGGTGAGCACCGAGTCGCGGTAAGGGCAGAAGACGTTGCGCTTGCCCTGCGACTTGTCGGCCAGCGCGTCCACCACGCGACCTAGCACCGTCAACGAGATGTTGATGACGACGCCCTCTTTGAACTGATCGCCCTCGGCGTTGTGGGCGCCCGTCCTCTCCGAGCCGGCCAGGTCGACTAAGTTGACCTTGCTTGTCACCTTGGACGAGCTGCTGTCCTGATCGGCGATGCGCATCTGCACGAGGTGCAGCACAAAGATGGCGTGACTGCGGCTGCTGCGGTCGTTCATCGCGGTGGAGGCGGTGTGCCGGCGCAGGTTGCCCTGCCGCAGCAGACGGAACACCTGCCGCGCATCTTCCACGTGCTTCTTCTTCAAGTTTTCCACGTAGGGTCCGTTCGTCTTGCTCTGCCGCACGCGCAGCTCGATGTTTGCACTGACGGAGTGGCTGCTCAGCAGGTCCATCACCTTCTCGCGGTAAATCTCGTAGTACTCCACCTCGACACGGAAGGAGTGGCTGCTGTCGCGCTCCCGTTTCAGGTGCAGCTCGTCGAAGAGGTCCCGCACCAGCCGCGGCAGGATGCCCCGCAGCCTCTCATCGCCTTCCATGCCGGTCGTGCCCTTTGCTCCTTCACCAACGGCACCACCTTTGGGTGTTTTATCCCCACGCGGTGTGACGTCGCTGCCTAGCGGTGACGACACGTCTGTCACGCGCGGTGTGCGCTGGGCGGTGGCGCTCATGCGGGGCACCATGGAGGCGTAGGACTGGAAGCGGGCGTCGCCGGCGTCGTCGATGCCGCTGGTGACGATGGTGGTGTCCGGCGCGGTGCGCTGCGACCCCGCGTAGCCCGTCGCGGCGCGGCGAAATTTTTTGCTCGTCGGTGACGCAGCGGAGGTGCCACCGCTCACCTGCGCGACATTCGAGATGGCCGCCGACAGCGATGCCGGAGTAGCGCTCGTCACGACCGCGCCAAACGTTCCGGGCGGCCCCATCATCGTGTAGGTTTTGCCGCTGCCCGTCTGTCCATACGCAAAGACGCAGCCGTTGTAGCCGGCAAGCGCGTTCATCAGCACCGGCCTGCCCACATAGCCGTACACGGCAGCCTGGTCGTGTGATAGGCAGTCCAGCTGCAGCGGGTTCAGCAGCGCCTCGGCCGCCACGTCCTCCAGCGTCGACAACACTACCGCCGAGCCGTCTGTACCGTCCCCCGGCAGCAGCAGCTGTGCGTCATCGCCGGCGGCGGGCTTCGCGGCGGCACTGTTGAAGCACCGGTCAAAGACGTAGGTCGACTTGGGCGTGTACTGCTTACTCGGATCCAAGGTGGTGATGTGGCATGGATTCTCATCGCTCACCGTGACGATGGCGGGAGGGTCGCCGCTGCCGCTCTGCCTGCGCTCGGCCGCGCTAAACGGCCGGACACGCACGAACACCTTCGTCGCGCTCGTCTCGTTGTCAAGGCTGCCTTTCCGCGACGGCGGTGGGGCGTGGGCGGTCGTGGGCGTGGAGGAGGACATGGACGCGTTGTCCGCCTCCGCGCTCTCCTGCGTCGACAACGGCAGCATTTTTATTTTGCCGTCCACAACAATCCTCTTCGTCCTCGGATGAAACGTGGAGAGACGCGGAAGGGAAGGCGGGGTCGACTCTGCTAAATGTCAGCTAGAAAAGAAAAGAACAGAAGAAAAGAAAAAACTCGGAGGAAGCGAGACAAAAGCTCAGCGGTGAATTTAATATACAGAACAGAAACAAAGGGAAGAGAAATGCAGAATAGGTAAAGCAACAGCAAGTCTAGCGTCGCAAAGCGCGCGCATCTACTAAAAGCAGTCGCGTGTGAAACGGAATTGTTTATATATTTATGTGTGTGCGCATTGAACGCCTACAGCAAGAGAGAGAGAAAAAGGAAAGAGTAAATGGGAAAACCGCAGTTTCTCCTCCTGCCTTTTCACCTCGATGAACCACGACGAAGGCAACACTTGGGATGTGAAGAAAAGCGAAGAGAAAGCAAAGAGAGTTTGTATAAGTGTGCCTCGGTCTCCTACACGCGCAGCTGCTCCACGACAAAGTTTGAGAGGTGGTAGAATAGAGTGGTGAGAAAATGAAAGGCGTTGCAGCGTGGGAAGTTTGCCAGTTTACGAAGAGACAGCGGGCACGTGAAGCTGCCGAAGAAAACTCACCGAGCAGTTTTCATACAAAGCCATGTTCAACCATTTCTTTTCTTTTCTGTAAAGCAAAAGGAAAGTTCCCCACTTGACACACAAAACACCCACCTACAGCTTCATTTGATTGAAGGCTACGGTGAATGAATGGAGTCCTCTCATGCTTGTCGGATCTTAAGCGACGCTGAGAAGCATTTGCAGCTCTTGGTCAGCTTGTGTCTGCGCAATTGCCGCAAAAAGCACATCAAAACACTCGATTGCGAAACATGGAGAACAAAGCAAAAGAGAAAGAAAAATAAGAAGGGAGCAAACATATATTCAGGGACGTTTCATACCGTCGCACCGAGTCCGTAACACACAGATCGTGAGTGGCAACAAAGACGTAGGAAAAAGCGGAATAATGTCACCGTTAAGGAGAGATATTGAAGGGGGAAATGAGAGAAATAAAATGGATGTTAATAGATGGTGGTCGAGAAATAGAGCGAAGTAGCCAAAAGACATTTTAAAAATTATTGCTTGAAATAAAAAAATTGAGCTCGATCAACGTAAACCCCGAAGACGACGAAAGATGGCAAGGCTAGTAGAAATTGAAAAGGAGGCACAAGAGAAGTGTCCGTTTGTGGGCACAACCGCTTGACCTCATGCGTCTGCAGTTTTGCCGTACCTTTCTCATCGCAACGGCCTCGTTAAAAACACAGGAGGAATAAAAACGGAGTAGGTACGACGACCATTCAGGGCTGACACGCAGGGGAGGGGGAGGGCGCACAGCAAAGGAGTAGAGAAACAAACGGAAACACAAACGCGCAGAACACCTTTAAGGCTCCACTTGGCTCGAAGCTCTTCACAAATATTTGCCGTGAAGAAGAAGAGCGAATCTCCGCCTCCATCATAGCACTAAAAAGAATATTTGTTTATGTTTGTAGGATGAGATGGAGAAGGGGGAGAGATAAAAGTTAGTAGAAAGAAACGAGGTAGAAGAATGGCGTTTTGTTTTTTCCTCTCCATTAACTTCTACGTTCAGTACAGGGATAAACCACGACCCTCACGATCACTCGGGGTCATTTACAACAACATTAGTTTTCGAAAGACAGCAACATATCATATTGATTTTTTTTGTAGTATGTTTTCACGTGGAACGGGAACCAAGACGAACGCAGTGGCAGACTTCAAAACAAGATTAGTTCGCCCTCAAAGCGGGGCGGAGTGGGCCTGGGTGGGCGGGAAAACGAACAGAAGAGAGAACAAGGCGGAAGTCGAAGACTGTCCGTGGAAAAGGAGAAGAAAGTAGAAAGGAGTCCCCGAAGTTGATATTCACTTAGATTCCATTCAAACCATACTTCACATTCAATCATTCCTTTCGCAAGCTCCCACAAAATAAAGCCAATATGAAAAAAAATCAGTAAACACGATGATCCATCTTCGTCAAGAGATACCAAATATATATATGTGTGTGTGTGTATATTACAACTACACGAACAACGTCACCAACAACAACAGGGATGATCGCGCTCGTGCTAGTACGTGCCAAAAGAGGGAGGAGAGGAAAAAAAAACGTCAAGCGCAGTTTCTTTCACGGGTAAGAGATATGCCGCTACACGGATAGTAACCTTTTCGTACATCCCAGCAGACAAGAACACTGCGTCGCTGTCACCAGGACTCGACAAAGGGGTATATAGGAGTTTTAACAAGCAGCACAAAAAAGAAAGCAGACACTGTAAGTCAAACACAATGGCCCAATGCTCTTACACAGCCTGTTTTGTAAGCTACGCTTTGTTATTATTATTATTACTGTTTTTTCGAGGAGGAGGAGGAGCATCACGCGCGTCGCTTCCACTTCTGTTGGTCTTCGTTTTCACATCGATATTGGCGTTGATTTTGGGCTCCTTCTCCTGTCCTGCTTGCGTCTTAAACTTCACCGGTGTGCCGCAGGGCAGTTGCACTACGAAGTTGGCGCCTTTCGCCTCCTTCAGCTTTTGTGCCGCGCGCAGCTTCGCCATCTCCGCATCGAGGTCCCGCTGATACTGCCGAAGCGTCTCCTGTTGATCCTCCTTCGCCTTTGTGGCGCGGGCTAACACGTCTGCCAGCGCCACCCGCTCGCGCTCCTTCCGCGCATCGAGCATCTCCATTTCCTTCGTCACGTCCGACGCGCCGTTCTTAAACGCCTCCTCGCGCAGTTTTGCACGGAAGATCTGATAATCCTGATCGAACATCAGCGCCCGCACCTTCGACAGCTCCAGCTCGAGATCGGCCGATTTGTTCTGGAACTGGTTCAGCAGGTTCGTGCTGGTACGGATGATGCTCTCCTGTTGCTCCAGGAGGCGCTGCATTTCTGAGTGGTGCTGCGCCGCTACCTTTTCGCGTGCCACCTCGCTGTCCTGCAGCTTCGTTCGCAGCGTCGCATTTTCATCCTCCAGCGCACGCCGCTGGGCGTCCGCCTCGTCGAGTGTCTCACGTGCGGCGAGGCTCTCGTCGTCCAGCCGGCGGTTCAGTCGTGCAATCTCCTTCTCCTTGTTGCCGATGATCCGGTCGCTCTCGTCCTTGGCCCGCTTCAGCTCCCTCGCGTGGTCCTCGTGGATTTGGGTGACGACCGAGGTGCGTCGCTTGCCGTCCTCGAGGAGGCTGCCGTACGCAGACTTCACCCGCTCCAGGTCACGCTTGTACGTCTCACTCGCCTGAGCCAGCTGGCGGTCGCAGTCGGCCTTCACGCGGGCGAGACTCTCAGCGTAGAACTTCGCGTCCTCCTCCGCGTTGCGCGCGCGCCGCTCGTTTTCCTCCTTGGTGCTCTTTTCGATCGCGTCGAGGTTCGCGTTGAACTCGCGCTTCACCGTGTTGATGTGCTTCTTGTGGGCGACTTCTAGCTCGATAACGGCGCTCTCCAGCTCGCGATTGCCGCCGTGCTCGCGAATCAGCCGCTCGCACAGTTTGTCGAAGGCCTGAGCCTCTAATTCAATGGACATGATTTTTTGCTTGTTTGCTTGTTTGTTTGTTTGAAAGCCGAGGAGATAAGCAGGAAGAAAAAAAAACCGAGATAGGCGGAAAGCAGCTAGCACAATTCCACTACAATGATAACGATGTGGTCGAGTACGTTCAACAGCCCCGTACGACCAGATATATGCAGATAGATAGATACAAGCTCGACGGAGAACTATACCTTCTTAAAAGTAAAATAACAATGAACCTTGAAGTCTTGGCAGCTTCCTGACTTGCATGAAAACAACAAAATGATCAGACTCACAAAGAAAGAGACGCTCTTTTGAGACAAGGGACAAACAACGGCGCAGGAGTAAATAAAAAAAGAAACTGTAAAACAGCTATCGAGTCTGCCTAGGCGAGAAAGGTGCTTGAGCAGGACCCAAAGCGTTGCTCCTCTCCGTGCTTTTCTTTAGAGCCAGTTAATGGGTGTGTACGCTTCAGAAGCCAGAAGTGAAGCACGACAAAGAAAAAAAAATTGGGTCGCGAAAGCAGCGAAACAATGAGCTGGGCTTTTCTTCCCTTTCTACGGTAAAAGAAAGCGTCAAGTATTCCGCAAAGAGACACAACCAAAGTGGAAAGCACTTGAAAAGAAAAACAAAGAGAATAAAGTAAAGTGGAAATCGCTGTTGTTGGAAGACAGAAGAAAAAGGAGAAGAGAGCAGTGTGATATATATAATATAGCAACGGTTTCCCTTGAGGTTGTGTCACCGAGTTGTATGCGTACTGCCTGCAGTGTGGATGCTGTGTGGCACCACAACCGTACAGCGGCACGCGATAGAAAATGACGGAGAGAGATCGCGCGCAAAGAAATTTAGGAAAACGAGGGAGAGGAGAGTGAGTCGGTTGCTAAACTCGTAACCCAACGATGCATCTACATTTTGGGATGAGAGGTATTTTTGAGAGGATGAAGATCCCCTTGAGAGCGACGGGACACTGAAAGCACGTGGAGGAGAAAAAAAAACAACAGCTAGCGGAGCATAGCAGATAAGCCTTGGCCTCTTTCCCCTGCGCTTACGTGTATGGCCATCGGTTCGGCTGCATTGTTTAAGTGCGCCTGGAAGTACAACCCGCTGCGTATTGTTGCTCACCATCTTGACTTTCAGACCATTCTGGAAGCGACAGTACGTGAAGCGAATTCACAAGAACAAAATCTACACAAGAAAGAAACAACAACAGAAAGTGTGGAAGTACGCAAAAACACTCACATACAATGTAAAGAAGGTGAAATACAACATATATTTTTACTTAT